GTTGTCATTTCGTGGAGTAGGGTTTAATTTAGCGCAGATTTATCGAATCAGACGGAAAACTCAATTTGGCCGTTATGAAATTTGAGAAGGCAACGAAATTATATTTTGCGAGCGAGCGAGGAAGTAGGTAATAACGTTCGGCACTCAAATAAAAACCTCGTTGGTAACAGTAGATGACCCTTTAAAGCGTATATCCTCGAAAATTGATGTTTTCCCCACTTGGACAGAATAAATATTTGCTCGGAAAACACGGATCGACAGACCGGCCGAGTGATGTCTTCGTTTATTTTGTCAGAGCGCATTTCCATATAAATATCCGTCCGGAAAAATACGTAGGGACTGCCGCGCTGTGCACATTTCAACATTTGTCTCGCAAATAATTACGATGCTGGGGTGAAGCGATTAAGAGTGACCAGAAGGCGAAAAAATCGGTCGAGAAAGTAAAGCCAGAGCCTTTGGTGGCATGTGTGTGGAAAGCGACACTTTGCACGGTCCAATTTGCTGCTAAGTGGTTACATTAAAACAACGGCACGTCCTGAGAGAGAGAGTATTGACGCCGCGCCGGCACTTGATGAACAGATTATCGAGAAGCACTTCCATTAAAATTAAGCAGTTTAGCGCTAAATTGTCTCCTCACACAACCCTGTCGTCTGTCGCACCCACTTTTCTCACCCTCCATCTCACTTCACAATCTTATACACACCCATTATTAAATTTTGTTTTGCTACCAACAAGTATTTTATTTTATCTACTCCTACATAGGCTGTGACTTTATGGCGTTTTAGTCACGGGCTGAAGTTGACAACAATGCCTTTATTATAAATTGCGAAAAAGTGCACTGAGAAAAAGAAACTGTTGATTCAAACGAAAACATGTTTATGTTGAATTAAGCATTTTACAATATTGAATAACTAATTTCCAAGTAAAAAATTGAACCTACACCTCGCCAAAGTTTTTTGTTGTGAGTGCGGTCCACCAACTTCAAATACCGACAGACAGCTGTTTCGACCTATATTGGGTCTCTTTAGTGTCGGGCAACTTGGTGTAGTGGAACACACTCAAAACAAAGGACTCCCTGAACTTATATGCTGGGTTGGTAAGCCAACAGAGGCGAGATGTAAGAACATCCTTTAGGCCATATTAGTATCTGTGATACAATTGCTGTGTGCAGTCTCGGTTGCATAGTATGTACCGATTGCGGCAAAGGCCACGTCGTTAGACGGTGTGGATCACCTGATGTTCTTACATCTCGCCTCTGTTGACTTACCAACCTAGCATATAAGCTCGGGGAGTCCTTTGTTTTGAGTGTGTTCCACTACACCAAGTTGCCCGACTCTGATGAGACCCAATATAGGTCGAAACAGCCGTCGGTCGGTAATACCGACTCGGTATTTGAATTGGTGAGAGGTGTAGGTTCAATTTTTTCTTATGAATATTACCAGTAATGGGTCAAGAAAGTTTCTTAAAGAAACTAAGAAAATTGAATGTTTACCTTAATTTCCAAGTATTTGACTGAAAACTTTAACTCCAATAAAAGAAACAATGTCAATTCTTGAATCAATATTCAGTTTAATACAGTTTAAATAAAATTAAACTTTAAAGCAATAAGACACTCTTAACTAAAATGTCGTTTATAAAACTTAATACATAATATACTATTAAATCCATACAGTTTTTATTAAATTAATTGCTTCTTTTCTTACGAATTTTTGCATGATGAATTATTCTCTCACATGCTACGTTTTGATCAAAGCTTTTTCGAATTGAATTGAATTCTAAGGCGTCAAAAAATGAAATTAATTTGCGCGTCCAGTGCCGTTTGTTCGTCGGGCGTGGAGCGAACGTCAAAAACATGCAAAACACGGAAACTTAATTGAAAGGTCGTCATGTTGACGTGTGGACACGTGTGGCGGGTGTCACACGTTAATGCCGCACAGCAGCCTCTCTATTGTGAGCGCCACCACTCGTTCGACATGCTGCCAATCATAAATCATAAAGCATTAGCTCAATTGATTGTTTAATAACTTTGTCATTATTATTATACAAATTTTGTTCAAACAACTTTTTAATCGTTTTTAATCGACCGCGTTATCGAACATTAAATAGTAATCGCATCAGGTATACTGACAATTAACGCTTAATTAAAGTTTGCTGGAATGGGTGTCTGTTGAAGGCATAACATTTCCAGTATTGTATGAGTGTTGCACAAAGCAAATTAAATGAATCCATTTTCACATGATTCGTAGCGTTCCGTCTGTTTACTTTCCAACGCTGCTGCCTGCTTGTACTAACCACTCGTACATGTTTATGCATATCACAAACCCTGATTTATGACACGCCAATAATATTCATATTTAAACCAAGCGAAACATAAAATACAACCGGTGTTTGAACAACTGGTTTTCATCGATACGACGTTATATTATCGCCCGGAGCCTATATATTTTATTTTTGCAGGCAGCGGGAAAAGTATTTGAACAAAAAAGTTGCGTAGGTATTTTATAATAAATGGTAAATTTGTTCGAAGGAATCCGAAACTTCCGTCTGTTGATTAAACGTTTCATTTTCGAAGAAACAAACTGCGAAGTAAATAGAAACTCTCAAAATTCCATCAAACAGCTTGTTAACAGAATGCACCGAATCAATTTCATGAATATATTCATCAAGCATCTGTGAATTTTCGCAACTTCGATCACTTTCCATCACTTTATTGGATTAGCAATCTACTACGAGTATATTCTATTTATTTCAATTGTTAGTGACATCTGAAACTTTGCATTTAATATTTATTTGAATTAATTTCGTTGAGCAAAATTTGTTTTAATGTCGTTACACAATGTTTTGCTTATGTGTGTGCAGTATAATATGTCAGTAGCAGTGTGTCTGCGTTTGTTTGTTTATTTATTTTTGTATTGAACTCGTTTTAACGATTAAATTTGCGAACTTCATTGTTAATTTTACGTAAACAGCAAAATTTGTATTAAATAATAAACATATTTAGTACCTACCTGTAACTTTTTAGGATTAATTAAATCCGAGTTGCAAAAATGGCGAATGCTCCGGGACTTTTTACTATGGAAAATTAATTTTTGAAAATTGATTTGTTTGATGGGCACTTTAAAACAACACCAAAGTTTAATTAGTTCGGAATTTTTAATTTATTAACTTTTAATCTGCCGATTCACAGAAATGTTCAACTATTTTCAACGCTTTTCAGCAATTTAATTAAAAGTTTTTATCAAAATTCATTTAAAATGACCGTTCTATTTTGTATAAAGTATTTATGCATTAAATTATATCAAACAAATAAGAACAATGATGAAACATTTTCCATTCTGGTATAGGAATTTATTAGTTTTTTATGCAAAATTTTGTATTAATCTTGGTAGTAACTTTTTTCTGATTTTTCATATATTCGAAAGAACATAGGGTAAACCACATAGTTATTGGACCCTTAAGGAATATTATTTATTTAAAAATTGTTTAAAGATTTTATAAATATATAAAAAGGATAGTTTGTTTGTTTAAACTTTATTTACGTTTACTTAAAAATAAGAATATTTGAATTTTTAATAACATAATTGGACATTTTATATAGTAATTGGACACATGGACCATAGTTATTGGACATACAATTTTTATATAAACATAACAATTTTACATCAAATAACATAAAGAGTTAAATATTTTTAATTACTGTTTTAGGTATTTTTTTTTATTTCGTTTTTGTAAATATATAATTCATATATATCCCTTTTCTGGATTCTGAAGATAACTACTAATTTCTTGGTCTGACTTCTGAAATAGTTTGTTGCAAATAGCAAGTGTGGATTTATAGTTTGTGAAGCATTTATAATGTTTAGGCCGGAACAGGATGATTTATATATATCTTTTTGGTGGTATCTATGTTAAAAGTATTTTCCGAATTTATTAATTTTGTTGCCATTAGTTTTTTATGTTCTCTATCATGCACTGTATTTAAATCACCGTTATTCTGCAAGATGTCCTGTGACGAAGAAATCAATATATTGCTTACTCTCTAAAAATGAATTAGTCAAAAATGTCATAGCGAAAAAGCAGCCACTAATAATTCTCACCAACAGCAATTTCTATCCTGGAAATTTAGCAGTCAATTCCTATAAAATAATATTCGCTGAATCCAAAAATGTCGTCAAAAGTTATAAAAGTAGAACAGTTTTTGAAGTATAATCAATTTTACATATAATATGGAATTGACTATATCTCAAAAACTGCTTAACTTTTATAGTTTTTGATGGTCTTTTCGGATTCAGGGGACAATTTTACCTAAGAATTGGCTGGTAAATGTCCGGGATACAAATAGAGTATGGTATTGGAAATGTCTAATAATAGAAATTTATATTTTTTACCAACCAGTAATTGGACACTAGCCATTTTACTGTTTGGTTTCTGAATTAAAATTAAAACGCATTAAAGTGACCATGAAGAACACATTTATACCACACACAGATCTGTACACTTTTTAGAAATATTTTTTATTGTAATGCTCTTAACAAAAAAACGAAAATCTTACCACCAAAGTAACGTGCGATTTTTTTTGTCCTATATTGGACCCAAAATAAAGTAGTTTTATATTATTACCGACTGAGATAGTTATATATAATAATTATAATTGTATACAGCGTCATCTAATGATTTGATTTTAAGGTAACTATTTATTGAACTTTTTTATAGTATTAATGTTAATTGTCCAATAACTATAAAGTGTCCGATAACTGTCTACTTTACCCATGTTTACTGAGCAATTTATGAAATCCAAATGTATTATTAAACTAAATAAAGTATTTCCTTAATAACAAGGTAAATTCGTCGAAAATTTAAAGCGAAATTTAAAGTGAAATTACAAAGTATATAAAAAAGTTAAATGGGTTAATACTAAAAACGGGTCTCGATATTAAATTTTCGTCAACGTAACAACGCTAGTGCCGTTAAAATGAAGCAATTTATTTTTTTTGTTTCAGGCCGAAATATGGAGCGTGTTTATAGCGATCCTGCGGAAGAGCGTCAGGAATCTGCAAGCGTGTACAGACGTCGGGCTCATAGAACACGTATTAAAAAGATTAAGGAACGCAGACGTTCTTGTAGCCGGTAAGTGTATTGTTTCTTCTCTTTGCCCAACTTTACAAACAACCTACTTTTATTCTGCCAGCGATTCAACAAAATGTCAAGTTAATCTAGCCGATGTAAAAATACTTTTCGAAATTTAATTAAACCGAAAAGCGATTTAACGAATAATTAATTTCAAGTCGTCCTCAAATAATTATATCGGCTTTGCTTGAAAGCTTTCCACAGGAGCCTTTGAACTTTTTCTGTTAATACAATATTTAATTATTAAATTTCTCTGCGGTGCCTAATTCAAAAAGATTCAGTCTTCATTAGTGTGGAACTTTTCCAGTTTAAATCGAGTTTGTTTGAGTAAATAAAACAAGTTCTTCACTTTTCAGATCTTCTTATCGAAATGCTTGGTGTTCTGGCTAGCTATAGCATTACCGTTAAGGAACTTAAACTGCTTTTCGGGGCAATGAAAGCCATCAACGGAAAATGGGTAAGATAATAATAATAATATTTTTTTTTTGCAAATTTGCTAATAATGAAGCTAAATTGGCCATAAATACCTAGTGAACCGATAATCTGGTAGGAAAATGTTAAATACACTCACAGGCAAAATAATCGATCCACACAAATTTTCGATGAATTTCAATCGCAAATAACTTTTTTATTTGATTTCGGATTTAAACAAATATTAAAGAATATTGTAGATACATTATTGGAGAATTGCTCACATTTTAAAAATTACTAAAAAATACACGTACGTTTATAATATACAGGTTTAAACAAAAAGATGTTTTTTACAATAAGTTTAAGACACTCTGTAGAGTGGCTAAACCGTATATTGTTCTAAATTAAGTTTTAATTATCAAGTCACATCTATTTTTAACAGTTTTGTTTTTGGTTTACCTTGATATATTTATTTTTGTGGAAGATATGGATTTTTTTTAAAAAACATTGCAATTTCCAATATTTTCCTGTATGAAGAACTAAGGTTGCTATGGTCCATCCATAGCCTATGGATGATGACAATAGCAGTTTTGTTGAATCATCCCATACTTGGACATGTGATATACAGCTTTCAAAAGGTATTAAATTTTTTTTTGTAATTTGATGTGTTAATTTGGAGGTGTCTTCTTACTTTTAAAAATGTCTCCGATTGATGTTGCCCTTTATACTTTACTTCTTGTGACGTTTAAAACACTTGCCACGTAATACTGTGAAGGTCCATCCTGAATTAAATTAATGGCTCTGGCAACATCAGTCGGAGATATATCCATTTTTTAAAGAAAGAAGACACCTCAAAATTTAAACATTAATTTGCAAAAAAACAATTTGATAGCTTTTGAAAGCCCTGTATGACATGTTCAAGTATGGGATGATTCAACAAAACTGTCACTGTCATCCTTTATAGGCTATGGATGGATCATAGCAACCTTAGTTCTTCATACAGAAAAATATTGGAAATTGCAATGTTTTTTTAAAAAATCAATATTTTCCACAAAAATAAATATATTGAGGGGAACCAAAAACAAAACTCTTAAGAATAGATGTGACTTGATAAATAAAACTTAATTTAGAACAATATACGGTTTTGCCACTCTACAGAGTGTCTCAAACTTATGGTAAAAAACATCTTTTTGTTTAAACCTGTATATTATAAACGTACGTCTTTTTTTACTAATTTTTTAAAATGTGAGCGATTGTCCATTAATTTATCTACTATATTCTTTAATATTCGTTTAAATCCGACATCAAATAAAAAAGTTATTTGCGATTGAAATTCATCGAAAATTTATGTGGATCGATTATTTTGCCTGTGAGTGTATATTAATAATAGAGAATTTATTTACCTTTAATTTAGTATCAGAAAAATTGCAATCCTACTAGTATCTACTAGTACCGAAGATATTTTTATTTAAGTAAAGTTAAAAATATGAAAAGTGGCCTATATAAAAAGTGTTATGCTTAAATAGCTTTTGGCGGCATTTTGTTGTTCCTTTACAAGTAAAATAAGCATAAATAATGCAAATTGTTTTATAACATAATTTGTACCAATGCTGAGGGACAAAAGAAGATGAATAAATTTCAAAAATAATTCACCCAATTCCCTTTCTTTCTTTATTTGCATATAAAAGAAATTAAGGTCGAATTAAAATATGTAAATATCTCTTATCTTAACTTTTGGACTGCAAAACTCAACGAAATGAGTGAAGTTTAAATTAGCCACACCTTAATTTCTATTTAATTTAAATTTAACTTTTTGGCATTATTTCGTATGGAAAAATTTCTAAAATTTATAAACATTATTTATTCAGTTAAGCTTGAAAGCCCTAGCACATTTAAATACATATTTATTTTGTGCGAAGCGCTAAACTTCCTTCTAACGGCACAGATTTGTATTGTTGAAAAATGTTTGAGTTTAGCAAGATAAATAGAATATTTGTTGTTTTAAGTGGTGTGGCGGTTTTTCGTCAAAACTGTAAAATGATTGCTTGGGAGGCCCCAAGGGAATACGCTTAACGTTGATGCTAAGGCCTGCAAAACCCTGTAATAATGTTAATAAGTAAAATATTAATACAGGGTTGAAGCACCTAAATTGTGTTTCCAAAGCTTTTTCGTTTATCAGGTCAGGTTTAAAGATAAATATTATTTATTTTATTTAATCGAATGCTTTAACCAAGGATAAGTTTTTTCCTTTATAAATCATGTTATTAAATTAATATTAAATAAAATCATAGACAAAATTGTTTGTGTAACAGCTTTTTTAATTTTTCCAAATTGTCAAATTATAGCTAAAAACGATTTTATTTCGTTAAAAACATGATTTAATAACTTAAAAACAGGATTATAACTTTTCTTCATTTTAATTGCAATAAGGCGAAAACAAGTTGACTCAACTAATTGAGCAAAATAATCGCCATTTTTGGATTCAGCGTAATCAAATTACCTAGGAAAAGTTGTTGGTTACTTTGCAGCAAAATGGTAGAACTTTACTGCCGATTTAATACGAGTATTGTATGCAACCCATTATACATTTTAAGATGTGTCTACTGCTCCTCAGCAGCTACTTAATAATATTTAAAAAAACCGTCGCGGAGGTCGATTGGACCCTTTCATAAAATGTTGTTTAATAAAAATAATAAGTTAATTTTATTAATTAGATTAAAAAATCGCCCTGGCGGGCAAATATATAATAACGGTCGCAACAAACAGTATACGTAGACATTTCCTACATTCAAATGATTTGATCATCAAATGACATTTGATTTAATCATCTATATTAATTATAAGTATTATTAAATGTGATTTCGGATAAAATTTAATATGCACCTCGGCATTAAAGTCATTTTTATCACTCACGTGGTTAATTAATTTCCACATTCGTGATAAAAATACGACTTTACTGCCTTGATACATAAATAACTATTATTTGAAGTTTGTACAAAAAAGTAGAGCCCTGAATTTTTGTAATGCTATTATACAAAAATTAAAAAATCCAAAAAACCAAAAAAAAATTTTTCAAACGTAGTGTTTTTTACTTTTTGACTCTTCTAAAGATCCTCCTGGGGTTTCAGATTTTTAAATTAATTTTTAACCTGAGCCCCGACCACTTGAAATTGAAAAAAATACTAAAAAAAGTGGGAAAAAATCATTTCAAACGAGGTTTTTTCTTACTTTTTGACTCTTCTTAAGGTACTCCCAAAGATTCAGATTTTTTAATTAATTTTCAACCTGAGCCTTAACCACTTTTTAAAAAGAAAACACAAAAAATCCTACGAAATTGTGAAATAATCATAATTTTTTTTTCAAACGAGGTGTTTTCTTAGATTTTTACCCTGAAGGTACCGTAAACACTGGTGACTTTGCACCCCGCGGGTGACTTTAGCCCTTTAAAAAAAAAATCGCGCTCGATAAAATTAACATTTATAATTTGTTGGTCTAAACCTATCAATTGAGCGATTATATTGAGTTTATATTACAGGAAAAACAGTCTTTTAAAAAAATAAATGGGATTTATTACACTTTAAAGTTGTATATATTGCATTAGTGCAACACTCTTAAAAATACACGCGTTTCAATTTCTATATTATGCGCAATTCTTTGGAATGATGATTCTTGGTTAACTACAGGTCGATTTTTTATTGTTTTTATCAGTAATCCCTTGCAATTGCTATATGTCGCTGCTAACATATGTCTAATAAGAATAAAATAAAATATTTAGTTAATTTTATACGGAAAATACACTGTGAGACAAAGTAACCCGCAACCAGGGGGTAACTTTGCACACCTAGTTTTTAATTTTTATTTTTGAAACTCAGCCCTATGTAAGATTATTAGACTCAAATTTTGGTATACAATATTTAATGTTTATGATTGTTAAAACTACAAAAATGTTAAGATTAAGTTTAAAAGTGAGCTAAAGCCACCCGTGTTTACGGTACTCCTAAAGTTTCAGATTTTTAAATTAATTTTTAACCTGAGCCTCGACCACTAAAAAAAAAACACAAAAATCCTACAAAAGTGTGAAAAAATCATATCTTTTTTTTTAAACAAGGTTTTTTCTTACTTTTTTACCATTCTAAAGGAACTTCCAAACTTTCATATTTTTTAATTAATTTTTAACCTGAGCCGTTTTTATATTTAATTTTATTTGTTACTTTTTGACTCTTCGAAAGGTACTCCGAAAGTTTCAGATTTTTAAAATTTTAAAGCAAGCAAAAATAAGTAATGTTAGGTCGAAAAGTAGACCGATTTTTTCCTCACCTGTGTAATTTGTGTGTTGATAAATTTTAGCCCCGTCACTCGGCCAAACTGCTGAACGTGCTCCGTCAGATGCCCCAGAGAACCGGGCCGGATGTTTTCTTCAGCTTCCCGGGCAGAAAAGGATCGGTGAGTTCACTTTTTTTTCGCCCCACATTTACCTACTTCCTTTCCACACTTCCTCGTGTACTTTTAATTTCCATTCCTTCGTGCACTTACGTTTCCAAACAGGTCAAATAAACATCACCCCCCCATCCTCTCCTTAAAATGTCTGCTTCTTTTCATTAAGTGTCGTAAAATACCTAACAATTTCTAAAAATGTTGTTTGTTGACTCAAATAAAGAGTCCTCTTTTATTTGTCAGTGAGTTTTATTTTAATCCTGCGATTATACTTTCTTCTCTCCACTCTTTATGGCTCGGATTTTCCTGCTTACTTTTTCGACTGTGTTTGTTTGCCTTTTTTACGATTCAGATATCTACTGTGCAGTTATTTTTTTATTTCTTTCTTTCCTTTTCCCAGCTAAATCTCTTTATTTACCCAAATGACGACGAAGCGCGACACTTGCTTCACACTCCATAAAAATTTAATTGGAAAACATTTCTTTGCTGTACTTTTCAGGTATCGACCTTTACACACTTACAGTTGAAATGTCGCGTCGACTTTCAGATGACGAACACGAATTTTTAAAACTTCATGAACAATTCAGCGGCGTAGAATGAAGAAAAATATAGGGCACCTAGGAACCTGTACTTTTTCTGAAATTAAAGAACGCAAGGCAACAAATACGTGACTGGAATATTTTCAAGTGGACCGGGCTACAAATAGAATTGTTTTCATTACTACATCAAAGTTATACATCAAATACTACTGCTATTCATATTTGTTGGAAAATGGAAATTTTTATAATGCGAAAGGAATATTCACTTAAGGTTTTTTTGTCATTCAAATCTGTTAGAGTTTATTTTTCAAAACGAAACAAAGACTCGTCTCCCTTTGAGTTTATTTAAGAATCGGGAACTTCATTAAAACTCTTTAATTTAATCATAAATACGTCGGACAAAGGTTGCAAACATTTGTCTGTTTTATTTTTAGTTTCATGTTTTGCATTAAATCAATGACGATGTGGGTATTACATTTTCAGCGTTTACTAATTAGCAATATCTAACGAATTTACATACATATCATTAATGATTGGCGATAAATAGCGTTATTCGTTTGCCTATACTACCTACACTGAATAAATTTATTTTGATCAATCAACGTTTATTCGAGCCGAAGCCGAAACCAGCAATTCTAGCTAAACTTATGTATGAAGTTTTTTCCTATGGTTTTCTAGCACCCACAGTAAATACGCTAAAGAAGTATCTGGTGGACTTCGAATGCATTGCTTGAATTTAAGAATTTTCAACAATACATTTAAAGCACAGATTATAATTTTTAAATAAATAGGTAGTTTTTTTTTACAAAAGAGAGGAAGGCAGAAGAGTTACTCGACAAATTTTGTTCAATTGCACAGCTAAATCGCGCACGTTATTTGTGTTTTACGTTGCAAAAAAAAAATTAAAAAACTTTTTTAGTACTCGATTGATTCCTTATATCATTGATTAAGAAACTCAACGCTTAAATGCTTATATAGTTACGTTAGTGTGTGAATTTTATCAAAGTGATCATGGTTAATTATTGTGTTTTTAATTGTAAATAAAATTCAAGAACTAAATCGTTGCATTTTCATGTTTTGCCAAAGGATCCAATTTGGTAAGTACATTTGTTGGTGCAGAATTAACTAATGATAACTTTACCTAACATAATTTATATTTAAGTTTGGACATTTTTAAGAAATTAGTAAAAAATAATTTTTGCACAAACATAACCTTAAAATTAACCATTTTTATTTTTGAGTTCTATAAAAAACGCCGACAACTGCATTTTAAACAAAAAAATATACCTACGAATTCATGGCAACATAATATTATATATTAGACTGGGCCAAAAAAATTGACTATTTTTTTTTTTTGAAAAATATATCGAGAATGTCATTCAGAATGACAAAAAAAAAATTTCGTGAAAATTTGAGCCCTCAATATTAATTTTAAGAGGTCTATCATCGCTATTTTTGATTTTTAGTCATAATATGATGTTTTACGTTGGAACTGTCAAAACAATAAAGTGAAAAAAATTCCTTGTCACTTATTTTTATAAAAAATTAAATTCTCTACAAAAAAGGTCTGATTGAAAATTTTCGCCAGACGAGCCGTTTCCGTGTAATTGAGCTTAATAAATCGATGTGTTTTTTCGATTTGCCCTTTTTACTTTGAAATTTTGTAACTAATGAATCAATGAATATTTAAAAAAGCTCACGTCGGATTCTTAAAGGAAATTTAATGTTCTACAAAAAAGGTCTCGGAACATTTTTGCCTAAATTTAATTCTTCAAAAGTTATTCACGAAGAAAAAATTGAAATTTTAAGTTTTTCTTCGATTTTAATCGTGAATAACTTTTGAAAAATTAAATTTAGGCAAAAATGTTAAGAGACCTTTTTTGTAGAACATTAAATTTACTTTAAGAATCCGATGTGAGCTTTTTTAAATATTCATTGATTCATTAGTTACAAAATTTCAAAGTAAAAAGGGCAAATCGAAAAAACACATCGATTTATTAAGCTCAATTACTCGGAAACGGCTCGTCTGGCGAAAATTTTCAATCAGACCTTTTTTGTAGAGAATTTAATTTTTTATAAAAATAAGTGAAAAGGAATTTTTTTCACTTTATTATTTTGACAGTTCTAACGTAAAACATCAAATTATGACTAAAAATAAAAAATAGTGATGATAGACCTCTTAAAATTAATATTAAGGGCTCAAATTTTCACGAAATATTTTTTTTGTCATTCTGAATGACATTCTCGATATATTTTTCAAAAAAAAAAATAGTCAATTTTTTTGGCCCAGTCTATTATATATAATAAATAATATAATGGTATTTTACCGTTGAGTGGAGACTTTCTTAATCAACGCTTTTAATAATGCTAAATGCTGCTTAAATTTAGACGACTTATTTGTTTGACGATTTTTACTGAATGAATTTTTATTGAAATGTTAACCCTTTTCACATGTATCTAATAGGTAAAATTTATATTTACAGAGACTGTATGCAATTTATTTCTTTATTCAGATTAACACTGTTAATTGGAAAACCCACTCAACCCAGGATTTCCTCTCAACACAACAAATCGAGCCACGGTTTTCTTTCCAATATTTTTTATCATTTTCCGGCTTTATTCTCAAAAACACTCGTTTGTAACATAAGCGTTTGACAGCTACTAGCGATACTTCTTTAGCGTATAGATTAGAAATTTATATAGAACATTGTCCAAGTATAACTAATTAGATTTACTTAAATAAGATTTGCGAGTTAAATCTCTGTACGCGGGGAGCCTATCAGGCAAGTCGTTTTAGTCATTTGCCTGGAATTATTTATCAGATAAGCGACCTTCGTTTCCCAGATAAGTTAAATCCGTAACCAGCCCCCGTCTTTCCCGAAGTAACTTTGGCCCGTAATTCGTGGATTTATTTGCAACTCAAGTGATAGATTGTGCTTATCGGCCGACAAACTCCTTTACAACTTTACTTTACCTACCCAATAACCGTGTAGATACTTTCTTAGGAATTCTGAAAACTCGATGGTATTTTTGTGTGCGGAAACAAGTGGCAAGGAAAATAGTTCGTCTCGCAGCATGCGAGTCCTTTTATCCGAGAAAAAAAGAACCAAGCGTCGCGACGTAGAGAAGAGAGCGACTTTAAAAGATTTCGCTGCAGCTTAAAGTAGAGTCTGAAAGTTTTTCTTTGTCCTCTCTCTGTTTGTTTCTTCTGCGCACTAATTTGCGATGTAAACACAACGTGAGTGTTTATCGTCCTTTATTCTTTTTTTTTCTTCGACGACGACTATCAAGTGCTCTATAAATCCCATCCACTCTCCTTCTATCCATTATTGACCTAAAAAACGCAAACACAATTAAACTGATTAAAATGAATTGCTTTTAGGCCGTCGTGTTGCCGCCCCTGGCCAAGTGGCCCTACGAAAACGGATTCACCTTCACCACGTGGTTCAGACTCGATCCGATCAACTCCGTAAACATCGAACGGGAAAAGCCCTATTTATACTGGTAATCTTGAATATCTTAATCTACAAACCTGTTTTTTTTTTCCAAATTGGTGTTTATTGAGGGGTGTTATATAACACCTAAAAGTGGGCAGTTTTTTAAATAAGCCCTTAAAAAAGGAAAAAGAAAAAAATGGTCCCCTGGGTCACAAATTTACTAGCATATTAAAAAACTTATTTAAAATGCTTAATCATTATGAAAATATATTTTTTTATTGTTAATAATTCTTTTAAGGTTTTATTTACACTAGGATTTGTTTAAAAAAAGATCATAAATTAATTATTTATAAAAAAAAATGAGTACAAAACTAAGTAAAAGCAAAAACTATGTTTTATTTCTCAACTTTCTTACTTACATACATAAGTATATTTAATATATTTTCTGTATTTAAAAAATGTCCATTAAAAAAGTGAGCTTAAAAAATTTTCTTTTAATGCGTATTAAAAACATTTTTTCTCGATTTTTTATCTGGGACCAGCTTGTACAATTTAACGAGCAATAAATTAATAAAAAGTTTTAGTTATTAGTAATATTAATAAAATAATAATAAAAAGTCAAGATAAACATTGTCTCGTTGAACTACCAAAAAAAAATGTCCAGCTTCTTTAAGTCAAAATACATTGACTAGGAAAATGACTATTAAAAAGGTGGGGGACATTATTTTAAATTGGCTACTTACTGTCAGAAACAGAAAAGGTGGAAGGTCGAAAAAAAATGTTTTTAAAACTTTCCAATAAGTTTATTATTATTTCAAAAAATGTTATAATTTATTTCTTTGGAATTGTCCCCTGGGTCACATAACTTTCCCCTGGGTCACACAATATGTGATCCAGGAGACGTGTGACCCAGGGGAAAAATATATGTTTTTAGAACATAACATCTTTACTGTTTTAAAGATAATTGATAAATTGGTTGATAGGATAATTACTTTTGAGAATCAAACAAAGTCCAACTGGTACCTTTACTACATTTTATTACTGTGACACAGGAGAATGCACAGTTTTGCCACGCTGGTATAAAAAATACAAAAAAACGTGTTGTGGCTTCAAGATAGTTTAAAACACCATTTCCTACTAAAATCCGTTACCAAATACATTGCCGCAAGGGGGCAGCACCAAAAATGTGCGCTCAATTCAAAAGGTCATTTTTTATAAAAGCCATGACTAGGGTTTTAAAATTTCCGGAAAAACTGAGCCGGCGGAAAAAAACCGGTTCTTTTTCGGAAAAAAACGGAAAAATTGGGAAATTTGCAGAAAAATTGACTTTATAATTTTTCAAATTTTATTCAAAGGTTAATACGAAAAAATGCAAATGTTAATTTTTTTGAAAATTTCCATATTTTTACGGATAGTATCCGTAGACTGATATCGAGAAAAAAGTGAATTTCCGACGCTGATTATAATCATATAAAATTATGATTTTTTTTTAATTCAGTAAGAATATTCTACCGGGCCGCAAAAAAAACTATTCGGTGCTGTATTAACATAACTTTTATTTAACACTTCGATTTATAAAATTATAATTTTGTAATTTAACTCTATAAATCATTCATTATTTTATAGTTACATATTTTTAATGGACTCCTTTTTGCAACAAAAAAACCCAACAGACAGTATATTTCACGTTTAAGTTTATTTTTTTAAATTTAATTTAATGTTTAGTTTTATTTTTTTTGTAATAAATGTTAACTTGTTGATGCCACTTTTTTCAAATGTGTATATTAAAAAAAAAATCATTTTTTCCTAAAAAAGACAATTTTTCCAAGGCCTGGAAAAAAACGGAAAAAACAGTTTTTTCCCCAATTTTTCGGACACTTCAAAACCCTAGCTATGACCCAGGAGATGTGACCTAGGGGACCAAAATTAAGGGACAAACTTTATGGGCTATTTTAACCACTTGTATTTTGAATTATTACAACAAATGGGGGTTTTCTTTAATATTTGGATTATATTCTCAACTATATAAAAAAGGAGGATATTATTTTTACTCTAAGGTGTTTAAATAGCATTAAGTAGTTTAATAATATTGCAAGTGGAACAGCTACTTTTCTGTACTGTTGGGGAAAGTTTAATTTTTTTGATAGGGTTAAATTTAAAATTTTACAATTTTGCTAATATATAGTTGCTAAAAACACTTAAACCAATTGATTTCGCTTAGTAAAGTTCCAAATGGAGTTAAACTCAATTTTTTATAAAATATTAAAGTTGAGGGACAGCAAATGTCCAAAAAATTTGAAAATAACCCAGACTTAAGTTGGCTATAACTGTTAAAAGAATGTCAACTAGATATGTTGGTATATATGGTGATATGTTAAACAAATATGAGAAATATTTCCCAATACCAAAACAAAACACAAAGTGCTTCAAGTACTTTTCAACAACGAAGCGAAGTGTAACTGAGAAAAGTACTTTAAGCACTTTGTGTTTTGTTTTGGTGTTGCCCTATTAAAAATGCCATATAGAAACACAAAATAAAAATCTATATGGTTCTATCTGGTTCAATATAGGAATTTGAAACAGGCATTGCACTATTGAACCAGATAGAATTCCACACATGGAAAACCATATAGAAAAGTGATTTCAATATGGATTGCCATATAGGTTCAGATTGAACCATATTGGAGATCTATCTGGCCCAATATGGTTTGGGTATGAAAACATTATTACCATATAGATCCATATTTACCCATATAGGGGAATATATATGGTTTAATATGCAATTTTCGTTTAAATGTATATACATTTTAAAATGGAATTTCTTATTCTAGGGAAACCTATATGGAAAGACACATAAAACAGAAACCAGATAAATCCATATAAAAATCCCTAAGTTGTACATTTTAAAATGAAATTCCATATTAAACCATATAGATTCCAAAGTGTAAACCAGGTCGTTCCATATAGGACATATAGAACCATATAACTCCATATTAGTTTCCTTATCTGGATCAATATGGGTTCTATAGGGCATTTTTAATAGGGTATTTGTTTAGATATGTCTGTCTTAAAAATGTTAACCATATTGAAGTGAAACTTTTTTTTTAGTTTCAAAACGAGCAAAGGTGTCGGTTACACGGCTCACTTTGTCGGCAACTGTCTGGTGCTGACGTCGATGAAAATCAAAGGCAAAGGATTTCAGCACTGCGTTAAATATGAATTCCAGCCGCGAAAGGTAAGTTAATTACACGCAGATAAAATAATTCCTAAGCTTCACGCCGAATCCCGCCGAACTTTGTGTGATTAAATGGATTAAATTGATTTTGAAATGTTTTAAATTAGATTAAAAATTCCAAAGGAACTATTGCGAAACTGATAGCAATTCAAATTAAATTAGGGCTTTACGAATGGAATAAAGCTTATTTATTTGAAAGAGAAAAAATTTAATTAAAATAGTACGAAAGTATGAGACTCGCGGTCATGTTTCGTTTTAACGTTTTATTTTATACTGACTTGTTTAGAAAATGAGAGATTTTCCCTTAATTTTCTGCTTAGGGTATTTATAATTGAGGAAAATTAATTGATAATTCAGTACATTAAGATTGAATTTATTATTAACCTGTATTTTCGTTGCCACTTTGGATGGCTAATTAATGCTTTTCATTAAAGGGTTCTCTCTATTTTGACAGGCTAATAGCAGTTAATTAATAAATCTCCGAAACATCGGCTGATGTTAATTAATTGTCTGGCTAACTGAACGTGTTTTATGAAAAAAGTTTCGCAATTCCGCCGTGATTTACAACGATATGTTTGTTTGCCTGAATTTTGTTCGTTTTATTTTTACAGTGGTACATGCTGGCCGTGGTTTACATCTACAATAGATGGACGAAAAGCGAAATAAAATGTCTGGTGAACGGGCAACTTGCTTCCAGCACCGAAATGGCCTGGTTCGTTTCGACAAACGACGTAAGTGTGTTCTCACTGCATTTTTGCAGTTTTATTTTATTTGTTCAAAGTGGGTATCTACATTTTTTTATCGCCATAGAAAGAGAAATCCTGAAGAAGAAAAATAGTATCTGCCTATTTCCAAATATTAAAAGAGTATATATATATAAACGTATTTCTTTGTTTGAATTCAAATGTAGATACCCACGTTTTACATCATAATAGATTTTTCATGTTTTGACAAATAGTAGAGTAGTAGCTATCCTTATACGACATCATATCTGGAATTTACATATAAAAAGGATTCTGGGAATACGCCGCCGCCGGCGCCGGCACCTTATCCCGCCAATGTCATATTTTCCCCATGTTTAATTCAATATTAGACGGAGCAAGTAAAGTTTCCTCGTTTTACATTTCGTTAATATTAATATGGTAATTATGAAATTTAATTTAAGCATTCATGGCGAAATTAATTGCGACTTTGATAAACAATTACGCATTAATATTCACGTCAATGATGTGCCCTTATACATATTAAACTAAAACAAGAAGGATTTCAAAACTTTTACCGCTCTTTACCTTTACCTACTTTCTCAAGTTAAAACGTACGCACTTAGTCGCACTTATTCGATATGTTGAAATTTTCATTTAAGTTAAGCTATAAGGGCAATAGTTATATAATATATTAAAGTTATTTTTTGGTATAAAAGTTAACAATCTATTTTTCGCATCTTAGGTAAGATCTCCTAAACAAAACGGTTCCTTTTTCTGCAATTTAAGATTGGCAAGTTTATTTTAAAACATAATTATTGTCATCAATGGTATTTTTCTTTTCAAAGCTTAATTTTTCTAAATTTACCATTTTGGTAAGATTTTAATTTACATTAAAATTAAAGCTTTTTCCAACGGCAAAAAGATCATTTTTATAAAAATTATTTATCAACAAACGCTGCTTTCAGTAATAGCATTTGCATTAATTATAAAGTAAATTTACATTATGTTTATAAAAATAACACTCTTCCAGATGCAGAAAGGCATTGATAAATATAGTTATTATTATTTGTCCAAAAAAACAATTCTATACAATTTACAAAAACGTTTTGTAGTATTAATGAAACCCTAATGGTATTATTCATGGAAATTTTGTAAATTTTACAAATCCTTTTTCGTTTAAAATAAAACTTTTTTTTAATATTAATAAAATTTATGTAAATTTAACAACAAATTAATTGTTAATTCAATAAACTATTTTCATTGTAACATTGGTCACATTTTCAACCTACTGTTGGGTATTGTGTAGTTTTTTTTTAAATAATTGCAGGACATTAAAACAAATTATTTATTATAACAAAAAAAATAACTCATATTATATGATGTACAAAATAAAAAAAATTATGAACTCACTTTTTAAACAACAAGTCTGCTTCGTTTATAGAATGAATATACCTTAAATATTTCTTTTAGAAAACGTCGAAATTTTAATTTTCTTTTTGATCTTTTTGATATTTTTATCATGCTAAATTTTACCACACTTCACTCGCACAAGTGAAATCAATAAGATTATAACACAGACTGCGTATTATTAAGTTATGTTCACCAAGGAGAGCGCTGGTCCTTTCCCCCTCTTTTTAACGGAAACAAAATTTGTTATCATTGCAAAACAATAGTAAATATTAAAAAAGTCTTTTTATAGCAATAACATATTTTTTTTATTGTTCTTCAAAGATTTTCTAACTGAAATAAAATTAATTTGAATTACACGATAGTAATTTAAAAAAGACAAATATGCCATAGTAAAATGAACAAATTTTATTTTAACAACTGCGCACTTTATGTAAGCGAAATTCACACAACTATAAATTTAACAAAAACATTTTAAGTTCGACAAAGATTTAATATAAACATAAAATATTTCTTATTGCAATATGATAACAACTATTACTTTGTTGGATGAACATTTTTTTATAAAAGCTCAACATTGCTGCTTCATTATAGTAAACAAGAATTTTATTAACAGTAAAAAAAGTTTATTATGTAAATAAAAATAATCTCATTACTTTGACAAATCGTAGGTTTTTGACCCAATAAGGCACTGAAAATTTAATAAAAAAGGTACCTTAGGTGGTACATTTTCTATAGCCATTACAATTTTAAATTTAAGTTAAATTATATTTTATTAATCGCTTACAAAATTAGTTTCATTATCAGTGCATGTACATTTTTCTGAGTGTAAGTATTTTTATAAAGCTTGTTGTAATTCCAACTAATATTTCAATATATCAAAAATACGACCATAAAATATTTCTAATACATTTAGTAATTTATTAATTTTGGCCACTTTACAGCAATAATTGAAATTTTGCGCTACAAGTTAATCGTAATACGATTTTCCAGCGCCGTAAATAAGAGCAAGTTTGGTTTTTATGCGGTCTTTAAAAATAAATTGGGGCGAGCAGAAATTATAAGGGATTTTTTTGTAATCAGCGCGAAATAAATTTTACCGTTGGTTTTCTTTCGCAGCCTTTCGACAAGTGTTACATCGGTGCGACTCCGGAATTGGACGAGGAACGGGTGTTTTGCGGACAAATGTCCGCAATTTATTTGTTCAGCGAGGCGCTAACAACTCATCAAATTTGCGCCATGCACCGCCTCGGACCAGGCTATAAGGTAAGTTTTTTATATATTTTTCTTTCCTCCATTCCACTTCTCTTTTCTAAAAAAAAAACGATTTACTTTTTTACTTTGCTACTAAAACAATGTGATTAGCTGACCAGCTGGGGCACAACAATTCACCTTAGCAAATTAATGGGTTTAAAGCTGAAACATTAGTTAATCAATCAAAAGAATTCGTCGCATAGCCTAGAGAGCTCTTAATCAATTCAAAGTGACCCGATACAAAGGGACAAAGAATGTTTCTTTTTTAATAAACATGTTGGGGGCGTATTTCAAATCGGATTTCTCCTTTGATTTAATTTACATGGAGTCTTTTGTTCCCGGGAATCATTAAATTTGTATTTAACTAAAAGCAGACTTGCGAAGCTTTCAATATCACAAATAAAGTTGAGCGTCTTAAGTGTCCTTAGACAGTCTGCAGAAGAAACAAAACATAAAAGTTTTGGAAATGTGGAAAACTTACTACGAACGACGATAACTCACGAGGTCTTAACTTTTATTTTTGCATGTAATTCAATTTGAGATCTCGAGAAAAAAGTTTTGAGGATTTATGTCAATTTTTCCGTTTCAGAGTCAATTTCGATTCGATAATGAGTGTAACATTAATTTGCCAGACAATCACAAAAGGGTGAGTGATTCTAATGAAAGTAATGAAACTAGCATGGCATTGACAACGACTGATGCACGTTCAGTAAGCATTTTTTTGTTTTTTTATTTTTACTTTTAGTCTTAGTTTTAAGTTTTACAATAGCTTTCATATTAGTTTGCATATCCCTTCCTAGGCATTAAACAATGTCAATAAAAATTGAATTAGCAGCCACTTTTTGTAACTTTATTAATGTATGTTTAAGTTGCCAAAACTTTGCCAATTACTTTTCCAGAGACACAGAAACTTAGTTTTCAAACCAGCAAATGGTCCAAACTTGAATGCTACCGGCCTATTTCAATAAACCTTTAAGTACTTTGTAGAGATAATTATTCGGTCGAATTCACTACCTAGTAGTTGAGAGAGTAATCTTTGCTGGCACTTAACAAAAGCTGCTACATTTTTTATGATATACAGGGTGTTTCAATTATGAAATTATAAGGTTTAATACTCACCAGGCATTTTTATTTTTATTTATTTATTTTTATGGTATAGAATAGACTGGGCCAAAAAAATCAACTATTTTTTTTTAAGTATATCGAAAATATAGTTTGGGGTGACAAAAATAAATTATTGTGAAAGTTTGAGTCCATAATATTATTATTAAGAGGTCTATCATCGCAATTTTATTTTTTTTTCCTCAGCAAGTTTTTGTCTCAGAACTCCCAAATCATTGAGTTTAACAAAATTGACTTGAAAATATTTTTTTAAGAAAATTAAATGCTTTACAAAAAAGGTTAAAGTGAAATTTTCCGTCAGATGAACCGTTTCCTTAAAATCATGCCTTAAAAATTGGTATAGTTTTACATTTTGATCTTTTAAATTGGAATTTTGTAATTCATGTAAAAATCAGTACCCATAAAAAACCGATAAATATTCTTATGGGAAATCAAATGCTTTACAAAAAAAGCCTCTTAACATTTTTGGCTAAATTCACCCAATCAAAAGTTATTCAAGGTTAAAATTTCGTTTTGACTTCAAATTTAACCTTGAATAACTTGATGGGGTGAATTTAGCCAAAAATGATAAAAGGCTTTTTTTGTAGAGCATTTGATTTTTACTTGAATTACAAAATTCCAAAGTTAAAAGATCAAATTGTAAAACTATACCAATTTTTAAGGCATGATTGTAAGAAAAGGGTTCATCTGACGGAAAATTCCAATAAAACCTTTTTTGTAGGGCATTCAATTTTCTTCAAAAAATATTCTTAAGTCAATTTTGTTAAACTCAATGATTTGGGAGTTCTGAGACAAAAACTCGCTCAGGAAAAAAAAAATCTAAAATTGCGATGATAGACCTCTTAATATTAATAATATGGACTCAAACTTTCACCATAATTTTTTTTTGTCACCCCAAACAATATTTTTAATATACTTTCCAAAAAAGAAAATAGTCGATTTTTTTTGGCCCAGTCTAGTATAGAAGTTAACATGAAGTAATTGTAACTTATTGGCAAATTTACCTAGATATGTTAAAATGTAATTATTGCCATCAAAAGTATGGCAATATTTTTAATATACTTTCCAAAAAAGAAAATAGTCGATTTTTTTTGGCCCAGTCTAGTATAGAAGTTAACATGAAGTAATTGTAACTTATTGGCAAATTTACCTAGATATGTTAAAATGTAATTATTGCCATCAAAAGTATTCTTATGAAGCTTAATTTTTTATAAATTTAAATAAAAGAGTAAACTCATTTCTATTAAAATTAAAGCTCTCAACACGAACGAGTGGCAAATGGCGTCAGTAAAGAATGCAAGTGGAAAATTGGTAGTTTTCTATTGTTTAAAAGGTGCTTTTGTTAAAGAAAAAAGCTGGTTCTTAAAAAGTTGCTGAAAAATCTCTAAATGTATGTAAATGTTCAAATTTAGTCTTTACTGCCCCTTGTCAAAATTTATTTTTGTGATACTATTGAAGTTACTATGGTTTTGTTGGTTTAAATATTAAATTTATTTATTCTAAGAAAGGTTTTTAATATATCACTGAAAACAATACAATTTGTGCTATAAGTTTATTAGTTCATATTTATTTTGACAACAGTAGGAAGGGACAGAAGGGACAAATTAATTATTATTATTACTACCACTTTGCCAATATAAATATGCGACAAATTAATTAAAAAAAGTCTGCCCAAAAAGTAATAAAAAATGTCTTCCCTCTAGCGGCGTATTAAAAGATTGATTGCCATTATCTTGCGCCATTGTGCAATTTAAATTTCGTAGTAAATTATGGAAACACTCTGTATATAGAGTTTGTATTGAGTTTAGTTTGGTTATCTGATTTTTTTAATGCATAGATAGGCATGAAAGAAATTAAGGGACAATTAAGAAATAATTGCTAATATTTCGAGTTTGCGTTTTTCTTAGGTGCTCTACGACGGAAAACTGTCTAGTGCGATAGTGTTTATGTACAATCCGGTGGCCACCGACAGCCAACTTTGTCTCCAATCGGCCCCCAAGGGAAATATATCTTATTTCGTGCACACCCCGCACGCTCTAATGCTACAAGTAAGTATCCCTCACCTTATAAACCACCTCTCATCAATTATTCCTCGCTCCTTTCTCTCCTCCTCGACCAAATGAATATATTTGGGTTGCGGCGTTTTCTCCAATGTTATTTTTTCCCAGGACGTAAAAGCAGTGATAACGCATTCCATCCATAGTACGCTAAACTCGATAGGAGGCATCCAAGTTTTGTTCCCACTTTTCTCTCAACTAGACTTACCTTACGAATCGATCACTTCATCAGACTCAAAGAGAGATCCGTCTTTATGGTGAGGAGCCCCCTTACAAGTTATTTAACATAATTATTTAAATTTCTTTTATTTTAGCTCAAAATTATTAGGTTTTATTTGCGAATTAGTCGAAACATCGCAAACGGTACAGCAACATATGATTCAAAACCGCGGATTCTTGGTGATATCCTTCATGTTGCAAAGGTCCTCCAGAGACCACCTGACCACCGATGTGCTCGGCTCATTTTTGAGTCTCACAAAATACTTGGTAACGTGTCTCAGCGTCAACAGTGAGTTACTCCTAAAACAGGTAAGTTATCCAATCCATTTTTTCGGTTATTCTTATTGTTTGCATTTTTTTAAATAATTTAAAAACCCATTAAATACGATTAACACGATTAATTTTGCCCTATACTTATCCAAGCATGATTGATTTGCCCTCGTTTTAATTGATTTACGAATAATCTGCTTAAATTTGAAATTTAAACCATCCACTATGAACCCAATTAATAATTGCTTTCAAATACAAAAACACAAGTTTACAAATATCCGATGAGCCTGTGTAATAATAATAATAATAATAATTATTGTCATGCGATGGGTAAGTGCGGGGAACAGTGAGAACTTGGTTGAGTGTAGTTTTTTTGCTTTACGTTTTTGACCTGGCAGCTGCTGGACCACGTGCTTTTTAACCCCGCGCTGTGGATCTACACGCCGTCGTCAGTTCAATCTAGACTCTACTCGTATTTGGCCGCGGAATTTCTATCCGACACTCAAATCTACTCGAACGTGAGAAGAGTGTCCACTGTTCTGCAAACAGTGCATACGTTGAAGTATTATTATTGGGTCGCGAATCCCCGAGCCAAGAGCGGATTGTCTCCGAAAGGATTGGGCAAGATATACCCACACATAAGGCAATGTTGCAGGGTTTTTAATGTTTTTTTTTGTGTTATTTAGATGGCCCCCGGCCCGCCCAAAAGGATGTTCTCGCCATCAGGTCGTACATATTGCTTTTCTTGAAGCAGCTAATAATGGTCGGGAACGGGGTAAAAGACGACGAGCTTCAGAGCATACTGAATTATTTGACGACGATCCACGAGGACGAGAATCTGCACGACGTCCTTCAGATGCTCATTTCGCTCATGTCCGAACATCCGAGCTCGATGGTGCCTGCTTTCGATGCCAAGCAAGGTACGTTTCCCTCGATCATTCTCTCTTACACTCGATAAGATTTTTACTTTTTGTTCTGCTCAGGGGTCCGCACAATCTTCAAGCTGCTAGCGTCCGAAAGTCAACTGATACGGCTTCAGGCGCTCAAGTTGCTGGGATTCTTTTTGAGCAGGAGCACTCACAAGCGCAAATACGACGTCATGAGTCCCCACAATCTTTACACGCTCCTGGCGGAGAGACTCTTGCTCAACGAGGAATCTCTGTCGCTGCCGACTTACAACGTGCTCTACGAAATAATGACGGAGCACATCAGCCAGCAGATTCTCTACACCAGACATCCGGAACCGGAATCTCACTTCCGGCTGGAAAATCCGATGATTTTAAAAGTGGTCGCCACTCTGATCAGACAATCCAAACAAACGGAGCAACTGCTCGAGGTGAAGAAGTTGTTCCTCTCCGACATGACGTTGCTGTGCAACAACAACAGGGAGAACAGGCGCACCGTGCTGCAAATGTCCGTGTGGCAGGAATGGCTCATTTCCATGGCTTATATCCATCCGAAGAATGGCGACGAACAGAAATTGTCCGATATGGTTTACTCACTGTTCAGGATGCTCCTCCATCATGCAATCAAGTATGAATATGGAGGGTGGAGGGTATGGGTCGATACTTTGGCCATAGTGCATTCTAAGGTGAGTTTCCACCATCATAATACGAGGGCGGGTCAAAAAATTTACTAAACCACTTCTTTACCATTCAAATTGATCCCTGTAAAATTAAAATACTAAACAAAAGCTCATTTAAATATTTAAACATGGAAATAAGAGATATAGAGTACCGTTTTTTTGTTTTTTTTTATTTATATCGTTTATTTCAAATGTTTTTTCACATTTTATGTTCTTTAAATTTCTTTTAATATTCCAATCAAGCATAGTTATGGCATTTTGGCCGCTTTTTCGCAAAGAAAACAAATTTAATTTAGCGGTAAAATATAATTCCAAATTTTAGCGAATACTTTTAAAGTGCAAAAGTAAATACATTTTTTGTAGGAAATTTAGTTTTCCACAAAAAGTTGAATCCCTAAAATTAATATTTTAAGAGATACGAAAATGTCAAGATTAATTAATGATTTTATAATTAAATAATATTTATATTTATAATGTGTTTTCCACTTATTTTATTTCTCAGGTTCCAAAAACAATTAAAATTTGTAAAATATTAAAGGAAAAAATCAAAATAATTTTTCTTAAAATTTTAAATTTTGATGACTTCATAAAGTATTTATAAATACATAGGTATATGTTTTTTTCAAAAATTGATTACTCCCGAACGGTTCATCAAAACTTAACATTTTTTATATCAAAATTTTCGTTGAAAAATATACTATACGATAAAAAAATTGTTCTTTTTTTAAACAATTGAAAATGAATAAAACTTCTTTGCCTGCGAGGAAATTTTTTCACATTTTATCTGATTTTACAATCCCTTAAGAAAATTTTAGTGAAAAAAAAAATTTTGTAATAGGTCAAAGTTATAAATGCGGTCACAAAAACATTTATAACTTTTGACCTATTACAAAATAATAACTTTTTTTTTCGTTAAAATTTTCGTAAGGGTTTGTAAAATCAGATAAAATGTAAAAAAATCAATTTTTGAATCCACAAAAAATGTAATTATAATTATTAATAAGTTGTTGATTGTTTCGACCTTTACTTGATGAAACTCCATATTATTAATATATGAATAAAAACAACACTGTTTTAAAGTTTCACTATTTTATTTATGTTTTTTAAATGCTTGACAGTTGAAATTTTCAAATGAAAGTTTCAAACTTGAAATATTTCATTTAGTTGGAAAAGTGAAATTTTTAAAAATTTTAAATGAAATTTTCAATCTGAAAATTTCAACATTGCCTGTGAAACAAAAATTTCATTGAAAGTTTCGCAATTTACTGAAAATTTCGCATAAATTTCACATGTGGCCTCCCCTGGGACCTTTAATAATAATTTACAACACATTCCGAATCGACCAATAAGAACGAGTTATGAAGCGTCTGGGCATTTTTGTTTAGTTCGGCTTGGATTTGAATACACTATAAGTAATTATTGTTACTTATATGCATAAATTAATTTAAATAATTTAATTCAGTTATCAATTTAATTTGTAAATTAAATCAGACTTAACATTTTTTTTTAAAGTCATGATTAATTTAAAATTTTACTTTTGCTATAATTGCATCGGAAAACGGATAAAAAATGCCTTTGGCTCATAAAATTTTGATGAAGTTTCTTCAATTTTCGTAAAATTTCAGTAAAATATATAAAAATAATATATATAAATATAAAACAATGAAAGTAGCACAATCTCGTTATATCGCGTTATATTTTAAAAGGAAATCTCAAGAAATTTGTGGCAAACATAGGTATTTACTATTTATATTATTGGTGGTCAGGGGCCAACAGAGGGGTAGGAGGTAAGAGAGGCAATTTGTCATGGGCCCGAGCCCCGAGTGGGCTTACTTATTAAAGTGATTGAAATTTGTTGAAAGTTTCAATAAATTTAAAGTGATTGAAATTTGTTGAAAGTTTCAATAAATTTCATGAAATTTCAGAAATTTAGGAAATTTTAATGAATTTCATAAATGTCATAAAAATTTCAAGTGAAATTTCAAGTACAAGCAAAAAGTGAAATTTTCCCAACCCTATACACAGTAGCTTCTTCTAAGCATTTAAAAAACATAAATAAAATAGTGAAACTTAAACAGTGTTGTTTTTATTCAAATATTAATTATTAATAAGTATTGTAAAAAATCGATTTTTTGCAACTTAAACAGTGTTGTTTTTATTCAAATATTAATTATTAATAAGTATTGTAAAAAATCGATTTTTTGCAAAAATATTTTAGGAAAGTTGTCTTTACCCCTAAACCGATTGAAAACCGATGAAAAATGAGACCATCAATTTTTAAGTGTCACACTTGAGAAATTTTGAGCGTGTAGTTTCTTTTTGCAAAAAAAAAACAATCTACCGTATATTGTAGGTGTCATATGAAGAGTTCAAGCTGCAATTTGCTCAAATGTACGAGCACTACGACCGGCAGAGGGCGGACAACATAACGGACCCGTTGGTCAGGCAGCAGCATCCGATATCGACGATTTCCGGTTGGGAGCGGCAAAACCACCCGAACCTGGCGAACGGCTGCAACCCGGACGACGAGCGGTGGCACGGCAGCCACCACGAGATCGAACTGAACGAGAACGACAAGTCCGAGCAGGTGTGCAGCTGCGACTACAACTCGACGCTGTCGGAAAGCAGCCCGGTCTCGTACATCGCGAAGCACGAGGACAGCGAAGCGGTCTCCTTGGATTCCAGGACCAGCGATTTGTACAGCGACGTCAAGATCGGCAAGGAATCGCCCTTCTCCCAGGATTCGCCCATCAAGTCGCAAATTAACGAAGAAGGTAATCGAATATCAGGGCTCCCACACCTCCTAAAAGTCATAAAATTCCTAAAATTTTACTTAAATCTTGAAAACTCCTAAAATTCTCCTAAAATGGCAATCAATCTCCTAAAACTCCTAAAATCCTACAAATTAAATTTAAATATTCCAACCTGACTTGCGTTTAATTAAGTTAGGTAGTGCTAAAAAAAATCTGTTTCAAAAAGTAATTTAAAAATATATATTTTTAGGTTCTATTCTATTAAACTCTTTTTAAAATGATATAACCAAAATTTTTCTTAAAAAACAACAACGATGTTTCGTTTTTTAGTCAAAAATATACCGTGTTATACAAACGTGTATATCAAAAAAAAGGATTTTTAAATTTCTTTTAAATGACAGCTAAAATAGTAAACAATCTAAAAAATGTTTTGCTGTATTTTGCATACTTCATATTTTGTTATGAGATTTTTAAGTATTAAGATACACATTACAATTGAATCGGTGAGAATAAGAACAGTACAAGTCCAAAAATTTAATTTTGACAATTTATTTTCTAAAATCAATTTTAAAGTTTAAAATACATTTTTGTGAGAAGATAAAAATTATTTTACAGAATATGAATATTATATTTCATAAAATAGTCTAACAAAAATGCATTTAGAACTATAAAACTGATTTTTTGAAATATTTTATCAAACATTTTACTTTTGGACTTGTACTATTCTTAATCTTACCGATTTAATTACTGTTAGTTATTAACTAAACGGTTAACATATTTTTTCTTAAAATATAAATATAACATCATATGATTTTGGCATAGTTTTTAAAACAAATCTATCGACGCTTTTTTTTAAATAAAATTAAAAGTGTGGTGAAATTTATACTTGTATATATATGTACCTCAGATATACACAAAAGTAGTAATTTTTCGTCGAGCGATTGGGCTAAAAAACTAGTCAATATAACTTATTTTTACAAAATAAGTATTCATTTTTTTCTTTTTTTTGAAGTAGTTGGTAAAGAGTTGTTTTTATTTAATTAAAGAAATCCATTTCCATACTTTATTTCTCCTAAAATTTTACAAAAAAACCTCCTAAATTCCTAAATAAAATTTGTAATTTTGCCGTGGGAGCCCTGGAATATTGTCATTGCTCGTTCCAATTCTAACGTTCTGTTTTCAGACAACATTCCCGAGTCGCCCGTTTGCAACGGCATCCATTTAGATAGCAGTTCCAGTCTAAGCAGCCCGGAAAAGAACGTGGACTCGGAGAAAATCGAGATTATCGATGAAATTTTGGACGAAATCGTTACCAACTGTGTCGAATTAAAAAGTAAACTCAATACGCATGATACAAATCAGGATAATGCCGAGACCTTGGAACTGGAAGTCGAAAATAAAGAATTTAGTAGTCCAGAGAAGGAAATCGTTGTTGATAGCGATGTTTCGGAAAGGTATATTTGATAAATAAATAAATAAATAATGCTTACCAAACATTCTTCTATATTTTAGATACCTTACACCAACGGAAGAAGATGTTGGAGACAGAAAGGATGAAGAAGAAAGTGCAGTAAGAGTCGCTGAAGAAACAGCAGAAGAAAAAGATGAAGAGGAAAATACAGGTGTAAATAATTTAAGTAGTGAAGAGGTGGGACAGGGCGACGGTTCGCAAAACGGTGATATTAATAAAAAACTAAACGATGTGCCAATTTTAAATGATAATGATAAAAGTGCTGTGTCAAACAAAGTAGTAGATGTGGTTCCGTCCGAAGAAGAAGAAGTAAAACTTGTAAAAACTTGTAAAGAAGAAACAGATAAACTAGAAAGTGAGTCTAGCGATCCGAAAAGTCTGCGAGAAGCAGACGAAAAGGAGGAGGAAGACGTGCCTTCGGAAATCAACAAAGAAAAAATAATCCCCACCATTTCCGGTATCTGTGATCCCCTTAATTTTAATACTACGAGCGAAACTAACGTTGCCGTCGTCCCTGACGTCGTCGAACATAATTTACAGGAAAACGATAATGGTAAGTTGTCCGTGTCTATACAGAAACCTAGCAACATTTTTGGGCCAATTCCGATTTAAGTAAACTTTAAAGTTTACTTAATGGGGTAGTTAAATTTTTTCTGACCTATACTTTTTATGGTTTTATTCAAGGCGTTTTGTAATATTAAACATTTCTGTGAAATCGGAATTTCAATTGAGTTTACCGTTTTCGAGATATTTACAAAAAATATAAATTTTTATGACGTCACAAACCTCGCCATGTGACCAACATTCTAAGATTTCTATTGGTTGAAAATTACCCTGTTGTCAAGTTGTCTTGTTAATGATTTCATTCGGTTATGTCAGAAAATACCCGAAGAGGTTATGTACAAATACTGTCACTGTCAGTTGAGTGAAAGAAGAAGAAGAGGAGGTTAAAGAAAATTCTGAAATTAAAAGTTTTATTGATAGGTTTACACATTGAAACACCGTGTGAAACCTAATAAAATGTAATAAATAGGTACCTAATAACTGTCTAAAGCAGAGTTTAATATATTTCATAGAAAAAAGTGGCAAACTAAAGCTAAAAATGAATTAAATAAATTTACAAAAAATAACAGTAAATATTAACAATGGTATTTATGATATTTGTGTATAGTTTTTATAAAACTTGCATCCCTGATGATGAGCATCAAAACCTTTTATAAGATTAAAAAAATCTATGACAAACTTTTGGACTGTTCGAAGATACTACGCTCTAGAGTACATTTTTGTACTTTTCGACAATTCTGGTTTAAATATTGCTGCAATAACGTACATAGTAGGTAAAGATAGTGCAGGGTCTACAAATAGACATTTTGATTAAAATAATATAATAAAATATATCTTCTGTGTAGAGAAACAGATGGTCACCAAATTCATTAAGTACCTATCTTCCTTATTATGAGGTATCATATTACTGTTTGATATTTTAGAGTCCAAGATATATCTAAAAGAATATAAAGAACTAGGCATTATACTAATGAAATGCATTTACGACAAAATATGATTATAATTATAGGTACTTACTTTATTTGTTTAAAAGCTCCAATGTTCAATGTAACCAACCATTCCACAAGATTCCTCTGCTTTGGAGTCCGTTATTAATAAATCACTTATCTAATATCAATTACAAATAACATAACATTGATTTTCAATAATTTAAATTTAAAAAAAACATAACCCGAAAAAAAGAAACGTCAAAAAATCAAGTCTTCTTCTTCTTCTCAACTAAAATTATAGATCAAGTGGTTTTGAAACTAAAATATTATAACGTGGCGCCATCTATCGTAAGAATCTTAAACTAAACACACTGGCAACCATAGAAAAAGCTGGCAACGTTGTCAATAGCCTAGTGACGTAATTGGGAGATTTTTTTTGTAAATATCTCGAAAACGGTAAACTCAATTGAAATTCCAATTTCACAGAAATGTTTAAAATTACAAAACGCCTTGAATAAAACCATAAAAAGTATAGGTCAGAAAAAATGTAACTACCCCATTCGGTAAGTAGCAAAAATTTGTGCTAGGTTTTAGTGTTACTTTATCAAGCGTTGTTAAAAAAATGTTGTGTATCTCAGACGTGGCGAAAGTGTCGCCGCCGGTGGTCGAGATTAAACGGCGAGTAAGTCTTCCATTAGATCGCACGGAAATTCAACAGGGTGATTTCGTCGTCGTAGACGTGGACGGCAATAAGGTTGTGGGGGCGGGCTCATCGCCGCAGAAAAGACCGCGTAGCGCCTCCACTTCCACCCAGGTCGACGCCGACCTTTTCGGTAAACCACCCAACCGTAGTGTTGCGTCTAGTGTGTGGCATGAACTGTTTGTTTCGTTTTTTGCTTTTGTTTCATTATGTTATTAATGCAAGGTGTTCCTAAATGCTAGAAACAATTGTCTCAAGCAAGATTTGATTTTTTTCCCTCCCATGAAAAATTCCAGTAGATTTTGAAAATAGACTTAAAAAAATGATACCCGTGTCTCGGCGTTTTTTCAAATCACGTCATTTTGTTTTAAGTGCGATCCAATAAATTGTTATCCACGATAACAGCTAGACTGTATAGTTAAAAAATATATATATTCACTGGATGGACAACCATTAAAGCTACATTTTAAAATTATTTACCTAAAGTGAATAGTTTTCGAGTTATTGTTGCTGTGAATTGTTTTCGTTAAAATTTCACAAATGCGCGTCAATCAAAAATAGTCTATAACTTTTTTGCTAATAGGTTTGCGGAAATGGGGGTGGAATTTTTGTAATCTTAAAACATTGTTTAAAAGATTCAATGTCAATTGTTTAACATTTTTCAAAAAATTATCCAAGAAACCCCAGGGCAAATTAGGCTAACTTGAAACGTTAATAACATGTATTATCCAATAGAAAATTAAAACACATTTTGATTGATGTAAGTATTCCCTATACCTTAATTTAATAATTTCAGAGATATTTAACAATTTCTAATATTGAGTCAATTCTCATATAACTTGTTCCGATGCTGTATCCACTTATTTTTGTGAAAACTAATTCTCGCTCAAGGTTTTTTTTAGTGTAATAAGCATGTAGCAATTTAAGGAAATGGGAACTTAAATTATGACAAACCTAATCTATTAATTTTTTCCTAAAATGCAGGCTTTATGTTGCAAATGTCACGTAAGTTACCGGTCACCAACTGCAATATCCTAACATCGATGAATATTTCAACAAAATGGCCGTTCAAACAACTAATGTTAGTGCTTGATTAACTAAAAATAGACTTAAGATTGACAAAAAATTATTTTATCCGAAATCGGCAGTAAAGTAGAACTTTACTGCCGATTTATTATTTAACACCAATTATTGCAGTAATTAAACAACACAACAATTAAGAATTAACTATTGCACAAAAGTATTTGCGAATTTTCCGCGCGAAACAAAAACCAGTCAGCTGATGACGAAAATAAATCATTTGCGCACAAAAATACGCAGAATAAGAATCTTAAGTTGAAAATTGCCAACTTTTATTTTTATTTATTATTTTCGTGAGTATAAAGTGATGTTAGCAATTATAAACCTTTAACTTTTATTTTTATTTCTTATTTTAATGGACCATAAATTCACCTTTAAATGACGTGATTTCGTGAAACGGTACGTTTTTTTACTATTAAAATCTGTTAAAAATTTTGATGGGAGACAAATCGTGTAATAAACTAACCTAAACATTTGTTCTATTCTATCTACTTTCTATATTTGTACTCCTGACGTTTCACAAATAATTTATAATAATAATTTTACCTTCAAAACAAAGAATAATATAAATAGAATGACAACTATCATTTAAGAACACACTGTAGGTGTATTGGTAATTTTAATGCTGTTTTTAGAACCGAAATTCTGCAAGAACGGCGCCAGTCAGGGCGGCCAGGCGGGCCAAGGGCAGCAAAGACCGATGTTCAGTCCGGGGCCGACTAGACCGCCGTTCCGCATCCCGGAGTTCAAGTGGTCCTACATCCACCAGCGCCTGCTCTCCGACGTGCTGTTCTCCTTGGAAACGGACATCCAGGTGTGGAGGAGCCACAGCACCAAGTCGGTGCTGGATTTCGTCAACAGCAGCGAGAACGCGATCTTCGTCGTCAACACCGTGCATTTGATATCGCAGCTCGCCGACAATCTGATCATCGCTTGCGGGGGACTGTTGCCGCTCCTGGCCTCGGCAACATCGCCAAACGTATGTGTGTTCATTTGAGAAAGCCTACGTTTAATCGAAATGGATTTTTCGACTTTTCCAGAGCGAACTGGACGTGATAGAGCCGACGCAGGGTATGCCCATCGAGGTGGCCGTGAGTTTTCTGCAGAGACTGGTCAACATGGCGGACGTTTTGATTTTCGCGAGTTCTCTCAATTTCGGCGAGCTGGAGGCAGAGAAAAATATGTCGAGCGGAGGCATTTTGAGGCAGTGCCTAAGACTGGTAATTATTTTAACCCTATTTTATACATTTCTGTACATATGTCACTGCATGGCAGGTTTATTACATAAAACTGTAAAACACTGTGTAAATACTTATAACGCGTGTAACGATGTAAAATTGCTGTCCAATATTGTCGAATACCTAATTATAATTTTTTGGTTATTTAGTATAATAAAAATGGTGTAATTCTGTAAAACTATCAAAAGATGCAGATAAAAATTGAGGTTGAATACATTTCTATCAAGTTTGATGAACGCCATTTCAGTCATGAATATTGATTAAGCACTGGCAAAGCTTGCGAGCAAGTGTTTAATAACAAAAGTGTCTAGAAAAGTTTATATCATAAGGCTGAGAAATACGACTTTTTATGCTGAACTCAAAGTTTGAGTGAAGCACAAAAAGACACTTCTCATACGTGTTTTTCTTCAAGGCACAATTTTATTTGCTTAACTTAGAATTATAATAATTATTAAAAATAGAAAGTGAGGTTAGTTAGAAGTGACAGTAGCTATTGGTTTAAATCACTGCGCGTCTAAATTAACTCATAATAAGTAAAAAAATTCCAACTCTAAAACGCCTTTACTAATCTTTTTCGGGAAAACACGTTCGAAAAATTACTTTTAGGAATTTTTTTAAGTAAATAAATAAATGCACTCGTCCATTACAAAACTCGCTCGTTCGTCGCTCGTTTTATAAATTGTCCTCGTGCGACAAAATGACATTAGCAGGGCTCCTAAAATTCATAAAATTCCTTAAATTTGGCTTAAATCTTAAAAACTCCTAAAATTGCCATCAATCTCCTAAAACTCCTAAAAATTAAATATAAGTAGGCCAACTTAACTGCGTTTAACTAAGGTAGTTGTGCTAAAAAATTTTTTTTTTTAAAGTAATTTAAAAAATAAATATTTTTGGGTTCTAGTTTATTAAATTCTTTTTAAAATGATATAGGTATCACAACCTACATTTTTCTTAAAAAACAACAAAACATGTAATCCATGTAGTAGCTTCTAGACTTCTACAAAATTGTCATTTTTAGCCATATTTCGTTAATTTTCGACAAAAATATACCGTGTTATATATCAAACAAAAGGATTTTTAATTTTCTTTTAAATGACAAGCTAAAGTAGTAAACGATCTAAAGAATGTTTTGCTGTATCATGCACTTTATATTTTTTCTATTATGAGATTTTTTAGTAACAATAACATTGCAATTATTGTTAGTTATTAACTAAACTGTTAAATTTTTTTGTTCAACATATAAATATAACATCATTAAACTTTGGCCTACTTTTTTAGCCATATCTATCGACGCTTTTTTTTAAATAAAATTAAAAGTGTGGTGAAATTTCTACTTGTAGATATATACAAAAGTAGTAATTTTACCTCACTTTTCATTTTATTAAAAAAAAACTCGTCGAGCGATTTGGCTAAAAAACTAGTCAATATAACCTATTTGAACAAAAGAAGGGATATTTATTTTTGTTTATATTTAATTAAATAAATTCATTTGCATACTTTTTTCTCCTAAAATTCTCCAAAAAAACTCCTAAATTCCTAAATAAAATTTGTAATTTAACCGTGGGAGCATTAGTTCTTTAATATACTATTGTAGCACATAATTGTTTTTGTTGTGAGAGTATTTAGCATGTTCTGTGCGTGTGTCAGGTTTGCACTTGTGCCGTTCGCAACTGCTTGGAGTGCAAGGAGAGGAGCAGGCCGCACCACTCGATCGCACAAACGGCAACCCACAATCCATCTCACAAGGCCTCGCACCTGCAGTCTTTCATTCGAGGCGTACACAGTTCACCCAAGGTACATTTTCGTAGCCGTTGTTAATCCGTTCGATCTGCTAACAATAATTGCGGCGTGTTTCAGAACATTGCGGACAACTTGTCGAGCCAATCGAGCAGTCCCGTGAAAGACCCGGAAAAGTTGCTGCAGGACATGGACGTGAACCGCTTGCGGGCGGTGATTTATAGAGACGTGGTACGAACCTTCATACAGGCATAAAGCGTACACTGCTTGCTCAATGAATATCTACATGTACGTGTTTTGCAGGAGGAGACCAAGCAGGCGCAGTTTCTCTCGCTCGCCATCGTTTATTTCATCTCTGTGTTGATGGTGTCCAAGTACAGGGACATACTGGAACCGCCTGTTTCCATCCGGGTACCCAGTCCGGTACCTGCTGTAAGGAGCAACGGAAATTCGCATCATTCCGGAAGTCCGCAAGGTATACTTCATACTATTTAATAATACAGACTAACTAATTTGCGGTTGAGTCAATAAAGGTTTTTACGTCTGAATCCCCAAGAGTTTCTGCAATAATGTGTAACTAGATGAAAACAAACAATGTTTTTTGAGTTTCACGAATTTATTTCAATTTTATTTTGACAATTATTTCGCTAACACAGTAGCTTCTTCAGTAATCATTTCTAAAGAAGATACTGTGTTAGCGAAACAATAGTCAAAATAAAATTGAAATGAATTCGTGAAACTCAAAAAACAGCGTTTGTTTTTATCTAGTTATACATTAGTGACATGGAGTTTCTTCAAGGAAAGGTCGAAACAATAAAATACAAACAAGTTGCAGCTATTCTTGAGTATTAAAAAGTTTGGACGATTTTTTAGCTTCATTGACTCCACTAATAACAAAAACGATTTGGCACAATACTGGCCATAATCTGTCACTCATCACCGCCATTTTTATCACTGATCACGCTTTCACAAAGCACTCGACTAAATACTACCCACTAAATTTGATGATAATCAAACAAAAAAATCCCCATCATAAAATTGCTGACAATCTAATCTAATGCTAAACTTCATTGTTTCTTTCTCTCTCATGCACCTGAACCGAAAAAAAACAGAAGGAAGTGCTCGTCCTTTGTTTCCCCAATGGTCTCACCATGTCTATCCCCAATTTTTGCCCGGCTCCCATCCGAACTCTCAACAAACCTCCCATCATCACAATTACGCTCGTCACAGACACCACACCTCCTCATCCTCCTCCTCCTCGTACGTCAAACACAACCACCAGCATTACTCCAACCTAAACAACAACCACAACCACTCCAACCACTATCCCCACTATAAAATCGACCACCGCTATCATCGGTCTCATGCTAGAAGCGCAGGTACGGTAACAGCTACAACAGTAACAGTGTGTTGATTCTTCTTTTTTACGTTACCTTAGCCATTTTCTCCCATGATTTTTTGCACGCTTTCCATCACCCAAATTGTTTTTTACACCCCTACAATTATGTGGTCGTCCAAAATATCATTTTTACAGTACTGTATGTTATACAGTGTGTCTACTTAAGTTGACAAAATATGGGAAACTTTTTTATTATTAATTTTAAGAAGAAAAGTTATTCTTTCTTAAATGTTCTGCATGTTCTAAAATCTAAAATAAAATCATCAGATATCAAATTTGTTTAGTCATATGCGAGGTTTGACAAAAAATAAGTTTTCTTCTTAAAAGTTTTCCATGTTGCCAATTTAAGTAGACACACTTTATCTACAATTTAGTAGAGATGGGAATCGGAGGGTTTCCATTTTAAGGAATGTTTTCATTTTGAAAAGTTTCAAGTCGGGAATAGTTTCTTTTAAAGTTACCGAAAATATTCCCGGAAACTTTCCCTGTTTTTTATTTAAATGCCAATTGTTTAACAGCTGATTTGCGAAGTTAAGGAATTGAATAAGAAGAAATTAATTTGTTTTAATTTAAAGAAGAAGTATGTTGAAGATTTCATCATCACAATTCATAAATCGTTACATATCGGTACAGTACAATGCCAAGGGAAAAATCTTATATTTGGAGATATTACAAAACAGTGCAAAAAAGAGCATGCTCAATGCAAGTTCTGTAAATAAATATACAGGGTGTTATGTAATTAATGTAATATATTACAATACTGAATACCTTTTGAAATAAGGTGTAACGGAAAAATATTTAAAAAAATATTTTCCCAAAGATAAAGAAAAAATATGCATTAGAGGTTTTTTATATTTTTTGTGATACGCCTCTGGTTACACACTTTTTTTTTACTTTTCAATATTCCTATACAGGTAGTCAATATTATTTATTTTTGCAATCCTTCTGGAACAAAGAACTCATTTTGTTGGAACTTTCGATGGAAAGTTTCCGGGAATTTTCGTCAAATGGGAATTTTCCCATCTCTACAATTCAGCATGTCATATAGTTATAGCTTTGATAAAAGACTGTATAGATATTATAGATACAATGCATGAGATATTAATTTCAAACTATGTAATAAACAAAATGTTTCATTATGCCTCTTTCAAGCAAGCCTAAACATTATAAAAAAAAATATTTTAAACTTCATTTGAGGAGGTATAAAGAAAATCCTATTTTACCTTATTTTATCGCATGGTTTTTACGAACAAAATCTCCCATCGTTTTTATGAACACTTTTGATCTGGTTTGATATAGCTTCTCGTGCCATTCACAACCAAACAGTGGAAGACGGAGACTATGACGTCATAACTGCCTATGTAATGGAAGAAAATTCCATCCAGGATAACAACATGCACTCTGGTCCGCCATCGATCAAGGTAAACTTTTTTTCTATACATTAGATTGTGTATATTGGTTTTGAACGATTTAAAAATTTTGTGCGACTAAAAAGCATTCGAATTTTGACTAACTCACTACTTAGAATTATTGCACTGAATGTTAGAGGCGAACGATTTGTTTGGGTTTGAGTGTATGCGATTAATATTGTTTTTCTTATTAAATAATTAAATGATAGTTGTAAGTACTAACATTTTGCTTGGGTTGGAATGTTACAACCAATAGGTTCAGGCCAGGCAACAGAGGTCTCTGGTTCATGGTTTTTCTGTAGATTACTCTTTGGATGGAATAAGGCATGCGAGGGGTTGTGATAATGCTCGTACTAATAAAAAGGTAAACGCTAAATGCTGCTCATGGATTTTTTATAGGCTTTAATATATCTTTTTAAGCTTGCCAGTGTTCAAAATTGATTTTGTTTTAAAGTTTATGTTTTAGTAACTAATCAATTAACTGTTAATGAATCGCAATTTAACCCAGATTTTACTATTTAAAAAAATTAAGACCGTTTTAAATAAACATTAAAATTATAAGCTTACAAAGATATAATATATCGGCCGTTTCATAAATAACTCAACACCTAAGGCCCAGTGGTTAACAGCTGATTAGCTGATTAACTCTTGAATTTAATTTAATTTAATGTTTAGCGGTGCTCCGTTACTGACAAAGTGTACTACACTTAGTTATTATCTAAGTGTGGTACACTTTGTCTGTCACGGAGCACCGCTAAACATTAAATTAAATTAAATTTAAGAGTTAATCAGCTAATCAGCTGTTAACCAACTGTTATACAACTGGGCCTTAGAGGGGTCAAGTCATGAAAATTTCTGTTTTTTGACTATGTTTTGAAGTTTGGTTAGTTAAGCCATGTTGTACAAAAAATTTAAAAAAAAATATTTTTACAGAAAACTGACGATCTTTTTTATTTTTTTGGATAAAATATCCACTATAAAATCATGAAAATCTCGTAAACTATTAATAATACGAAAAAAATCAATATAAGCTTCTTATTCATAATAACTCGTTATAGGTATACCGGTATATGTTCTTATTGCTTAAACGTCTGAGGATTACATTTAAAAAAAAGTTTAACAAAATTAAATTTTTTTAAATAAACAAAAAGGTAATCGTAAAAATTAGGCATTTAATATATTTTATTTTTTTTAAATCCTATCCTAGATTTTTGTTTTGTTTTATGAGAAGGAGCGTTTTATTTGTTGCCGAGATGTCGATTTTTAAGAGCACAATGAACCGCGATTTGAAAAAAATTACAGATTTTTGTAATTATGTTATTTTTGACGTCTGTCATTTTTGCCATCCGACATCTTTCATTTTTAATTATATCAAAACGCGTTTCATCTCGCTCATGGAGCCTATAGGTGTATACACAAGGAGTCCGAATCTCATGTTTACAAAAATCGTTTATTAATAAATATTTGATTTGTAGCACACTCGAAAATCGCGATATTTTTTCTGAAAAACATGAAAAAAAAAGTTGGCCAAATAATTTTTCCTTACTAATTCGACCACGCTGATTCCAAAAAATCAAACCGCACTTTCGTTTGGAAGTTACACTCGAAAATCGCGATATTTTTTTCATAAGGGAGGACCAAGGTGAAATATTTTCTGAAAAACATGAAAAAAAAAAGTTGCCCAAATAATTTTTCCCTACTAATTCGAAGGGTCCCCCCTTATGAAACTTTTTCTGAAAAACATGAAAAAAAAAGTTGCAAAAAAAGTTCCAAAAAATCAAACCGCCCTTTCGTATCTCTTCGCGTTTGGAAGTTACACTCGAAAATCGCGATATTTTTTTCAAAAGGGTCCCCCCTTTTGAAACTTTTTCTGAAAAACATGAAAAAAAAAGTTGCAAAAATAATTTTTCCCAACTAATTCGACCACGCCGATTCCAAAAAATCAAACCGCCCTTTCGTATCTCTTCGCGTTTGGAAGTTACACTCGAAAATCGCGATATTTTTTTCAAAAGGGTCCCCCCTTTTGAAACTTTTTCTGAAAAACATGAAAAAAAAAGTTGCAAAAATAATTTTTCCCAACTAATTCGACCACGCCGATTCCAAAAAATCAAACCGCCCTTTCGTATCTCTTCGCGTTTGGAAGTTACACTCGAAAATCGCGATATTTTTTTCAAAAGGGTCCCCCCTTTTGAAACTTTTTCTGAAAAACATGAAAAAAAAAGTTGCAAAAATAATTTTTCCCAACTAATTCGACCACGCTGATTCCAAAAAATCAAATCGCACTTTCGTATCTCTTCGTATTCGGAAGTTAGACTCGAAAATCGCGATATTTTTTTCAAAAGGGTCCCCCCTTATGAAACTTTTTCTGAAAAACATGAAAAAAAAGTTGCAAAAATAATTTTTCCTAACTAATTCGAGCACGCTGATTCCAAAAAATCAAACCGCACTTTCCTATCTCTTCGCGTTTGGAAGTTACACTCGAAAATCGCGATATTTTTTTCAAAAGGGTCCCCCCTTATGAAATTTTTTCTGAAAAACATAAAAAAAAAAGTTGCAAAAGTAATTTTTCCTAACTAATTCGACCACGCTGATTCCAAAAAATCAAACCGCACTTTCGTATCTCTTCGCGTTTGGAAGTTACACTCGAAAATCGCGATATTTTTTTCAAAAGGGGGGAACAAGGTGAAATTTTTTCTGAAAAACATGAAAAAAAGTTGCCCAAATAATTTGACGAAAACAAAGGGCTTAATTTGTGCGATTTAGAGGGCAGGTTTTGTCAATTTCCTCTATTTCTGGCTCCTTGTGTAGGCTTCATGATCGCGCTCTCAGAAACAAATGAAACAAAAACGAAACACTTTGAAAAAGATCAGGCCACAAGGTCATACAAATGATATTTTTTTAAAAAGATTAAAATATATTAAATGTCTTATTTTTACGATTTTATTTTTGTTCGTCTAAAATAGCTATATGTAGTTTTGTTATGTACTCAGACGTTTGAGCTACAAAAAGCATGTATTGATTTTTTCGTATCATTACTTGAGTTATTTACGGAACGGCCGTTATGCTGGTTTTTAAGACTTTTTTGTAAATACCTAGCTGTTTATTAAAATTACTTTGTTTATTTGTTTTTAACTTTTCAAGGTAAGTTTTCCCATTAAAATTCCATTAAATTGTATGAATTATTAATTAGTAATTTGTTTGAAAATTAGAGTATCGATTCGATTGAAGAAATAAACTCAATGAACTCCGGGGATATGAACAACATTTCCCTGAACAACGACATGGATAACAAAATGTCCGGGGAGGAAAACTGGACCGACATAAACCTGAACGAGGAGGGCGACTTAAAAGACGACGTCCGCAACCTGCAAAACATGTCTAACCGACACGAAATGATGGACGTGGAGGGGAACATCCACAACCACGAAAGAGGTAAAATAAAAAACCGTTTCTGCCATTTATTTATATCTTTAAAATTGATTTACCAGAGCATAACACATACTATGCTTATTTTTATTCAATTTTAATTTATTTGATTCCGAGTTGGGGTACTTGCTCAACAATATTATTTAACAAAATGCAAAGACCGCAAAATAAAATTAATTAAAGTAGTATTTAATATTCCATATCTAACAGCAACCGAAGAAATATACAAAAAATTAACTATTAAGCCACTAAAAACTGTAAAAAAAAATTGAACAATGTAAATTAGTGCATAAAACAATCAATAAAAACCAAAAAACTAATCATAAATTTATATTATGCAAAGACAATCATGATCATAATACTAGGAACCAAAGCAAAATTTATTTAACAAATACACATTCTAATATAGGTTTGAATAATCCAATAAATCGTAGTGTGGAAAGTTATAATATGTTACCCCAATCAATAAAAAATATAAAAAATAATAATATATTTAAGAAAAACTTAAAAAAGAATTTCTTAAATGACTACGAAATATAAAAAATTCGCTACAGTCTCCATCACCAGCACAGGGTGCTGATTAGGAGTCTTAATTATTTTCGTTTATGTATTGTACCTTCTCGGACCAAAATATTATTAAAATATCTAGTTTATTTGGAAACAATTGTACAGGACAGTTAAAACGAAAATAAAAAAAAAATATTTTTAGGCGAGAAGCACCGTTCTGAAATCTCTGTGGTGCAAGTACCGCACAACTCGGACATCCTGCAGTCGCAGATAAAAGCGGACGAGTTGCATCTGCCCGTCAACAATTTAGTGGAACACATTTCCGTGCCGACCCCTTCGAGAGAGGCGTCTCTGACGCAGAAGCTCGAGACGGCGCTCGGCTCCGTGTGTCCTCTGCTGAGAGAGATCATGGTGGACTTCGCGCCGTTCCTCTCGAAGACGCTGGTGGGCTCTCACGGCCAGGAGTTGCTGATGGAGGGCAAAGGGCTGACCACCTTCAAGAATTCGAACTCGGTGGTCGAGCTGGTGATGCTGCTGTGCTCGCAGGAGTGGCAGAACAGCTTGCAGAAACACGCGGGACTCGCTTTCATAGAGCTGATCAACGAGGGCAGGCTGCTGTCGCACGCCATGAAGGATCACATCGTCAGGGTTGCCAACGAGGCCGAGTTTATTTTGAACCGAATGCGCGCCGACGATGTTTTGAAGCACGCCGATTTCGAGGTACTTACGATCGAAGAAATCAAGTTGCCGTCGATTTTAAATGATGATTTTTTTTTAGTCGCAATGTGCTGCCAGTTTATTGGACCGCAGAGACGAAGAAAAAATGTGCGATCATTTAATAACCGCCGCTAGGAGAAGAGATAACGTAATTGCGAGTAGACTTTTGGAGAAAGTCAGAAATATAATGTCCAATAAGCATGGTGCTTGGGGTTACATGGATCCTGCTGCTGCTATGTAAGTATACAACGATAAAACTAGGGTTTTAGAGTGCCGAAAAAAAACCGAAAAGATTGGGGAAAAACCTATTTTTTCGTTTTTTTTTTCAGGGCCAGGGAAAAATGGCTTTTTTTGGGAAAATATACAAAGCAACTTAACATTATTTTAATATAAAAAAATATCCTTAAGGATAATAAATTTATTACAGAAAAAAAAAACAAATAAAACTAAACACAAATTAAATTCAATTGAATTAAGAAAATAAACGTAAACGTTAAATATACTGTCAGTTGGGTCCTTCTTGCCAAAGGGAGTCCATTGAAAATATCCATTTACAAAATAATGAATGATTTATAAAGTTAAATTGCAAAATTATAATTTTATAAATCGATATGTCAAATTAACCAATAATTAGCACCGAATTTGTTGTTTTGCGACCTGGTAGAAGATTCTTACTAAATTATAATAATAGGAATATTTATTATAATGATGGATATGTTTATGATTATAATCAGAGTCGAAAATTCAATTTGTTCTTGATACCAGTGTACAAATATTTTGAAAAATTGACTTTTATTTTTTACTCTTTAAATAAAATGATAAAAAAATACAAAATTTTCTGAAAATTTCCCAATTTTTCCGCCAGCTCATTATTTCCGGACATTTTAAAACCCTAGATAAAACTATAGAAAACCATTTCATTTTAAACAATCTTTCAAAAAATTCATAACCTACGCTAAAATAATCCTTATCAAGATTCATTTACCATCAAACATTTTCTTAGATATTTAGAGGGAAAAAAAGTTTTGGCTTGTAATTTTAGAATGTCATAAAAAGGTATATATTTATATACAGGGTGTATTAAAATATCTCGCGTATCTGCAGTCCTCCTTGGAACCCCTATATTTCGAAGTTACCCCTACCCACCTACACGGAGGGGGAAGGAGACTAATTTTAGTACTACTGTATTTTCCCCCCAGAATAATTACATTTTGATTTTTTAAAGTGCTCTAGGTTCTCAGGATATTTATCAGTTTCAGGTTAAAAAACTCACCCTGTATAAGTTAAATGGTTTGTTTAATTTTTTATGTTATATTTAAACCTTAATCATATTCCATTGCAAAATTCATAAAAAAATCATCATTGCTTGGCTTGTAACCCAAGCTTAAATAACTATTTGTCAAGTTATAAATAGGTACAGTTGTATTCATTAAAAAAGCGTACAAGAATTAGAATGAGAGAAAACTGCCAACATTATTGCGTAAAACCGGCTTTCCACTGACTTAAGTCACTATAACTGACAGTAGAAAATAAAAATGCCTCGTCAGTTAAAAAGGCTCAAATAGTATTAAGAATCGAAGAAGAATGGTCAATTTGTACTGTGGTATAATAGAAATAAAAAATCTATATTAAAAATTAAGCAACGCTGGGAACAGGAAGATTTACTAAACCAAAAAGTTGGTTCAGGTCGTCCCAAAATATCCACCCCTGAACAGGATGCTGCTTTTTTGAGATATCTGAGGATTTATGGGAAACTATACAACTATACTATACCTACTATACTGCTGGGAAGATATTAATCCAAATATTATATTAAATTTAATTCAGTTCATCCCAAATAGATTGGCTCAAGTAATAGAAAAACAGGGATGCATGACTAAATATTAAATTTTTTTTAATGTTTGTTTTTTCATTATTAAAAGGTAATAATTTTTGTAATATTATTTAATTAACCTACGACGTCAATGCTCTTTATAACCTATAATAATTATTTTAATGACTTATGTCAGTGATAAGCCGGTTTTAAGCAATATTATTTTGACAGTTTTCTCTCATTCTAATTCTTGTACCCTATTGAAAATGCCATATAGAACCCATATTGAATCCGATAAGGAAACGTATCTGGTTCTATATGGTTTTATAGGTCCTATATGGAAAGTCCTGGTTAACATTACGGATTCTATATGGTTGAATATGGATTTCCATTTTAAAAATTTTCATATTCAACCATATAGGGAAACCTATCTGGAAATACATATAGAACAGAAACCAGATAAATCCATATAAAGACATGTATATGGTTGTATATGGATTTATCTGGTTTCTGTTCTATATGTATTTCCAGATAGGTTTCCCTATCTGGTTCTATAGTGTTTTAGAGTGTTTTTATCTGGTTCTATAATGTAATCTTCTATCTGGTTCTATAGTGAAATGCCTGTTTCAAATACCTATATTGAACCAGATAGAAACCATTTATAATCCAGATACGTGTTTTTTATATGGTTCTATATGGCATTTTCAATAGGGTACGCTTTTTTATTGAATACAACTGTATATTTATAAATATAAAAGTTTCATAACATAATAATTATTAAAGATTTAAAAACATATTCTGGAAAGTTAAAATGTCCAAAATACAGAATGAAAATTATAGAAAAAATAATGTAAATTTTTCCGGAAACTTAACAAATAATTGTTTCTGGAGAAGCTACGGTACTGTAGCGAAACAATTGTAAAATTTAATATAAATTACTCGAAACTTTCAAACATATTCGTTTTTATACTTACTTGGTGTAATATGAAGTTTCATCGAGTAAAGGTCGAAACAATGAATTGTAAAGAATTGAATTTGATTCGAGTGAAATTGTTTAAGATTAAACGAGTTCTGGAAGCTGGACGCTTGGGAGGACGACGCTCGAAGGAGAAAACGTTTCGTGCACAACCCTCTGGGCACGACGCACCCCGAAGCGAGCCTCAAAGCGGCCATCGAGCAGGGCGCCCCCGAGGACGCCATCTCGCAGGCGAGAGAGGAATTTCACGCTCATCTCGCCGGCACGAGAGGGCAGCAGCAGATGCAGCAGAACGACCTGATGGACGACAACGAGCTGCTCGCCGACGACAGGGAATTGGACAACGATTTGACCGGTGAGTCCTTATTATTCCCCAACAATGTTGTGAAAAATATCTAGTTGTTTTTTTTTTATTTCATTTATTAAACCCAAACAAACATAAATGTTTATAAATATTGTATACCAAAACTTGAGTCTTGAGTTGCTCTTTCATAATAACTATGTTATAATATTACATAGGGCTGACTTTAAAAAATAAAAATTAAAAACTGGGTGTGCAAAGTTACCCCCTGGTTGCGGGTTACTTTGTCTCACAGTGTATTTTCCGTATTAAATTAACTCAATATTTTATTTTATTTTTATTAGACATATGTTAGCAGCGACATATAGCAATTGCAAGGGATTACCGATAAAAACAATAAAAAATCGACCTGTAGTTAAACAAGGATCATCATTCCAAAGAATTGCGCATAATATAGAAATTGAAACGCATGTATTTTTAAGAGTTTTGCACTAATGCAATATATACAACTTTAAAGTGTAATAAATCCCATTTATTTTTTTAAAACACTGATTTTTCTGTAATATAAACTCAATAGAATCGCTCAATTGACAGGTTTAGACCAACAAATTATAAATGTTAATTTTATCGAGCGCGAAATTGTTTTTCATAAAAGGGCTTAGTCACCCGCGGGGTGCAAAGTCAAACGTGTTTACGGTATAAATAAATACAACGTAAATATAAATATATAGACAAGATTTTTAACATAATAGCATTATTACTAATAGCACATGCTAATTAAAGCCTTAAATTAAACAAATTAGTTTTTACAGTCTTCGAAAAAGTTTGTAAACTTGTTAAAGCTTTTATTTTATCAGGAAGTTCATTGAAGAGTTTTGAAGCATTAAGCCTGATCTATAGATTGCCTTCCTTCCTTCCTCCCTTCCTTATGTAAAAGATGACCAATACAAAAACCGTTGTACTGTTTATAGATTCCCGTTCGTGACATTTAACATGGCTATACGCTAAAGAATCATCGGGTTTTTGCAACGCGCGCGCCATCTGGTGGTGATCGATAGCATTGTGTGAATTCAAAAATTGAAAACAATACATTTAAAGCATACGAACTGCACATCATTTTTAAATAAATAAGTAGTTTTTTCACAAAAGAGAGGAAGGTAGAAGTCTTTCTCGACAAATTTTGTTCAATTGTATAACTAAATCGCGCACGTTATTTGTGTCTCGCGTTGGAAGTAAAAACTAAAAACTTTGGTTAAGTACCTACTTGATTTCGATTTATAATTCCTTATACCATTGATTATGAAACTCAACACCTTATATAGTTACGTTAGTGTGTGTATTTTATCTAAGTGATCATGATGAATTATTGCGTTTTTAATTGTAAATAAAATTCAAGAACCAAATCGTTGCATTTTCATGTTTTGCAGAATTAACTAATGACAACTTTACCTATCTAATATAATTTATATTTAAGTTTGAACATTTTTAAGAAATCTAACAAAAAATAATTGTTGTACAAACTTAACTTAAAGTCGAATATTTTTATATTTGAGTCCTCTGAAAAAACGCCGACAACTGCATTTTAAAGAACTAAATAAACTTACGAATTCATGGCACATAATATTATATATAATACATAATATAATGGCGGATCTTGGTATTTTACTGTTGAGTGGAGACTTTCTTAATCAACGCTTTTAATAATACTAAATTCTGTTTGAATTTATGATTTTTACTGAATTGAAATGTTTACAATTTTTACGTAAATCATCAATATAATGTGTATTTATTGTATCTAATAGGTACAATTGATATTTATTGTAGGCAATTAATTTCTTTATTCGGATTTACACTGTTTATTAAAAAAGTGGTAAAAACTCAACCCAGGATTTCCTCTCGAAAAACACCCAACAACACAACAAATCGTGCCCCGGTTTTTTTTTCCGATATTTATTATCAAGAACAAAACATACGCCTTTGACAGCTGCTTATTAAAAGCTAAATTCTACCAGCGATGTTTCTTTAACGTATAAGTTTCTACGGTTTTTAATTTTTTTCATTGACTGTCAAAAAATCTGTATACCTCAGAAAAACGTATTGATTAACTTTTGATAACTTTATGTTTTTGCAGGTCCGGTAAATATAAGCACGAAGGCTCAACTAGTTGCTCCAGGTCTGGTGGCTCCCGGAATGGTCTCCATAACTTCAACCGAACTGTACTTCGAGGTGGACGAAGACGACGAGGAGTTTAAAAAACTCGACACTGAGGTAAGTGAAACAAATTTGTGTCAAAAAAAATGCGCAATAAATATTTATGAGGACGACTGAATAATATTATGTAAACAAACATCGCTACTGTTTTTTCGATTAACTTATTACCTGCATATTTCTTGCTCACTTATCCCGTCAATTATACGAGTTTTTACGGAAAAATATAATCGTCGTCTTCCTCTCGACAATTATCCGTTTTTAATCGACGGCAAACTGTCGATGATTAAATTGTTAAAGGATGGCAGAATCAATCTAAATTTTATTACCAAATTGTATGCAAATAATTATGTTTTAATTACGGAATTTAAGCGACCCGTTGCAATTTATCTTGCTCAACTCGACCAAGACGATCCGAACTCGTTTCGCATGCAAATTGAGAACCTGTCATAAATACGCATTGTATTTATTTTATGGTAATTGTGTAATTAGGGCACTCGACGATTAAAAACATGCTGTAGATTTTTAATTAAAAAGTTTTAGTAAAATGTCCCACACACTACTTTAGTCATGGTAAATGTTCACAGGGCGAGAATCTATCTATTTTATAGAACTATAAAATATCGTATTTTTAAATTATGGTTTTATTTATACAAGTTGTTTGTTTTTTACTGGTACAGTTCTTTTTTTTTTTGTTTGGTAGCTTATGTCAGTTTGATTTAGTATTTTTAGTTTTTAAGAAATGGGACTTCTGCAGCAGCTGTAGACCTTAATTAAATACTCTGACACTGTCAAATTGACAGAAATTTTTATTATTGATAATTTACTTGTTAATTATGTAATATTGATACCGTAAACACGGGTGACTTTGCACCCCGCGGGTGACTTTAGCCCTTTTATGAAAAATCTTTTCGCGCTCGATAAAATTAACATTTATAATTTGTTGGTCTAAACCTGTCTATTGAGCGATTCTATTGAGTTTATATTACAGGAAAATCAGTGTATTAAAAAAATAAATGGGATTTATTACACTTTAAAATTGTATATATTGCATTAGTGCAAAACTCTTAAAAATACACGCGTTTCAATTTCCATATTATGCGCAATTCTTTGGAATGATGATCCTTGGTTAACTACAGGTCGATTTTTTATTATTTTTATCGGTAGTCCCTTGCAATTGCTATATGTCTCTGCTAACATATGTATGTCTAATAAAAATAAAATAAAATATTGAGTTAATTTTATACGGAAAATACACTTTGAGACAAAGTAACCCGCAACCAGGAGGTAACTTTGCACACCCAGTTTTTAATTTTTATTTTTGAAACTCAGCCCTATGTAAGATTATAACATAGTTATTATGAAAGAGCAACTCAAGACTCAAATTTTGGTATACAATATTTAATGTTTATGATTGTTAAAACTACAAAAATATTAAGATTAAGTTTGAAAGTGAGCTAAAGCCACCCGTGTTTACGGTATAAAAAAACTATATCAAAAATAAAATCAGATTCTAAAGTAAAAGAACTTTTATGGGCAAAACTTCGATGAAGTTATGCAAAATGTCTTAATGGCAGAAACAGTACATCACCTTATGGACATTTTTCGAGTAAAAAAGTAACGTTTTTGGTTTTACAAATATTAAATCACACAATATTTTCAGCTAAGCAGATCAAAAATTTTTGAAATTTTAAAAAAATAGGGGGAAATAAAAAAACAAAAAATAAAAATTATTTACTGTTACCTTCAACCTTTTTGTGAAAAATCTAGTAGTTAATTTTTATGTCCTTGAAAATAGCATCCAATTGGTTTGAAAAAGATAAGCAATAACCACGAAACCTTTTCTTCTTTCAATTTGCAAGTTACTGATCATTAATAGTTCTGGAAATTGAAATATTGTTGTTGTTAGTCTAGTAGCCAACTACAAGGTCTCCAGGATTCATAGTATAGGTGAAATCTATAATTATGAATTGTATATAGATTGCTCATTTTGTTGTGAACGTTTAAGGAGATTTAGAAAAATAAACAAAAAAAAAATAGAATTTTTCTTCCTTTAATGGTTATAAAATTTAACTATACAATTAATGTGGGAAAATTCTGAACTGGACCACATAAATCTGGAGTTTCTTCTAAATCTGGGATCAGGTTGCCTCGTGCAAAAATTTTTTTTATAGTACAACTCATCATCTCCTTCCCACTTTGCCCCGTAATGTTTTACTTGTAATGTTTTGACATTATCAGCCCTTTCTTGCTTTACCTTTTCGTCTTATTATGGTATACTAGCACACTATTTTAAATATATTTTTTAAGTGCAATTTACTGCAATACAACTTAACAGTATGTACCAGCAAAAAAACACAAAATTAAATCTCTAAAATACGTTATAACATCAAATGTTAGGATATCAGGTGACATAAATTACTAATTTCTAATGGTGGAATTGGAGATTGTATACTTTGCTGCAAATCTATCAGTGGAGATGGTCGACTTTGCACTAAATGTTATTTTTAAAATAGGATTTTAGGCAGGATTTAGCTCCTTTTGCAGCAAATAAACTATATCATCTTATAGATAATTAGTGGAGATTGTCGGTTTTGCTATGACAGGCGTCAATTACATTATAATTACTAGTTAGTTAACTAATTTAGTTTGTTTTAATCATTGCAACCAATTTTGGTTTCATATTTACCAACCAAACCCCTAAATTTGCATCGTTGCCGCAGTTCAGATAAAAATAAAATGGACTTTAGACCATTTGAACAGATCACAGACAATTAGGTACATTTTAGATCATACAGTTTTAAGACATTGACTAAAAATTCTTTTATAAATAATTTATTGATAACTTCTAAATGGTTGCGTTTTAGAAGGGGTTTTGGGCGGCGCCAAGTCGGCCGGAGTCGATTTGATGGATGATTTATGGTATTCCGAATGAATATGCAACGCGGCGCGCAGCTAATTTCAATGAAACCCATCCCGGTGATTAATCGCTCGCTTATTTAAACCGTACGCAAAGATATTAAATCACGCATCGTTTCCAACGATCGATCCGACGATCGATCTCTTCTTCGATCTAAATATTAAAATTATTCTTTTAAAATATCGTAATTTCTAATGTGAATTAAAAAATCCAGCTAATTAATTACGCTTGAGATAACTGAGAGAGCACCTATTAATTGCGACCAATTAAGTAAACGTGCCGGCAAATAAGATGTGACAGGTATTAATAACATCAAAGAGGATTTCAATGCGCCGCAATTAAAACATTTGCATTATTATTTAATTAATTCCATCGACCTTAATTTAATAACTGTGTTAGTTATTTTAGTTAGTTAATACGAATGGTAGATATTGGATGGTGATTTACATTTCGAAACAGAGTGATTTTAAAGCATAAAGATAAAGCTGTAGACATATTTTGGTTAATAAATTGCCAGTTTTACCGAGAAATGGAAATAATAAAATTTGCATATCATTAGCAGACTATTTTTTTCAATTTTTTCCATCGTCGCCAGCGATTATTATCTTATAAACGGACGGGTATTATGGTATTTCTTCTTTTTTCTTTTTGTTTCTTTTATTCTACTCTCTTCTCCGCAAACATGTAGGTAGGTGTACTCAGTGCCGTACCGAAGTATAAAATCCGTTGCGAACACTTTACACGTATTTTGTTTTCACATTTTCATCATTGCCTAGTTGCTGAAGGTGATTGATATGGGCATTTATTTTTAAAAATTGGTTTTAACCTTTTTGGGCAGATTTTTTTTAAAATCCTATTTAGGCTATAAATTTACTATTAAAAAACATCAAAACTTTTAATAGTAACAAGAAAATAAATGTTACCTAGGGACATATCGGTCAATATTCTATTAAGGCTCTCTGTCATTTGTCAGTTGACCCTAACATTTCTTATTAAAAAAATAATAAATTACAGCTAATATAGAAATAGATTCAAAAATAAGAACTTAAAATAACAATTAATAGAAACTTTTTTAATTAAATATAAAAATATTTTTAATGTTTTAATTAAGGTTGAAAGTTAGCATCACACTCTATAACCCTATGTCCCCATCATATCGCAATGGTGAAAACTATATATTTCGTAGGTTTTGTATTAAACAAAATTCTAAAACTAAAATGAATAAAATAACATATAAGTAGCTCCTTAGTACTAATAAAGAATGTGATAAAATTTCTGTGAATAATTTTTTAAGTGTTACCAAACCTTGTTCTTATATTTAATCATTAAATTAAATTTTAATGTCTACTTCGTCAATAAAAACAGTTTGGTGTTTAGCAAGAGAACTCTGTAACCCATGTAGTTTATAACTGTGGCACGAGATGGCGCCGCTGCAGGCAATGGTATCGCTAATGTTATTTTGCGCGTTACAAACAAGGAGCGAGTGCTTTTGAAGGTTATCTTTCGTCACGGCATTTACTCGACAAGCAGGCCAATTCACTAACATAAGTCGTTAACGTTAGCCACTAGAATCAGTAGTTATCGGCCATTCCTTACAATCAGGCCGTTTAGATATAACGATAACCACTAAATCTAGTGGCTAACGTTAACGACTCATGTTAGTGAATTGGCCTGATTATAACTTAAAAGTAAGAGACTCTTCAAGCGAAACTTTACTGCTGAGAATTACCTTTAATTTGCCTAAATGAAAGTTACAACGGATATGAAAATGTAAAATATTTATATTTTAGAGGAGATCTAACTTAAGTTGAACCAAATAGATTGCAATGTTAACTCCTACACCATAAAAATAAATAAATAAAATGCAGTGGGACGCTATTTTTCTTTAATTAAAAAAAAAATAGCAAGATCCCATCATATTTTTTCACAATGCTAAATAAAAAAATCAAACATATCATCAGCCATCTGCCGTGCGAATTATAATAAAAAAGTCGATGAAATATTTCTGAGTTAGTTTTTCCTTTCTCCCCCAAAATTTATTTACGTGCTGACCGATTGTGTGTTAATAAAGCAATTTACATAATTCGCAAGAGCGAAAAAAGATAAACAAACACGCCAAAGGAATCATCAATTTGACAGGTGGCCTCCACTGCAGCCGCTGACTTATTGCCACAAACTTGCTGACTATACATACTGACTTACCTATTAGAATTTCATATTTTCCTTTTTTCTCGGAAATATAAATTGAAAAAGCGACATTCTACACTACTACCATGAACATGCAAATACATCGCCGCACTAAGTTGTGAATGGATTTATAAAGTAACCAAAATTATTTTCATTGTTAAATTTATTTTGGTGTAAAAAGATTATTTTTGATTTGTTAGTGTAGGTACTCTACTAAAACAAATTTTACGAACAAATGTATAATTACACATAGTGCGCTGGATAAATATTCAAAATATGTAGAACGAAATCACGAAATCCTCTGTTGATGGCTGGTTGTCATAAGTCATCCCCGCGTGGACTTGACTCTATAATTATCTATAGAGGTAGTAAATCATCCGGGTTCGATTTCAATTAATACTACCAGGTTAAAATCAAACAGCTCCGGGCCGAGGCTTAAAACGCTTATTGACGTTATTTACGACATAATTACTGGCCAATTTGGGAGAAGTGTCTGGGCCAGCGTACGTACACTATCTTGTGCAGCCCTCCCACAAACCACTATTTACACAACTAATATAAACCGAACCAATAAATCAAAATGTGCGCCCAACGAAAAAAAATGGAAATTTAATAGGCTGCTCTGCTTTCTTCAAATAAATATTCAATAATGTAATCCTATCGTGTTTTAAACAACTTCCCAGGATCCCTAAAATATATTAAAACCCTATTTATTCATTTAGAAAATAACCACAAATCAAGCAAGTTATTCTCTTCAGAAAAATTACTTTTCCAAAATTAATAATTATAGTGTATAGTGCTTTAAAAAAATTATAATATAATATATTCTTATTCTCTTGTGCTTTTCAGGTATAATTAATTATTCTTATACAGGGTGTACCGTAATTAACGGGCAAAAGAGACATTTTTCACAATAAAAAAAACTTTTCCAAGTGACACAATAAATGCACATAAAACATTGGATTTATTAAAAAAAAAAAAGAAATTGGTTTACTTTACATACAAAGGAAAATTAAATACTGCAAATATTTACTGAGTAAATGTAACGACAAAAGATAACCTTAAAAAACACGCTGCTTGTTTGTAACGCGCAAAATAACAATAGCGATACCATTGCCTGCAGCGTCGCCATCTCGTGCCACAGTTATAAACTACATGGGTTTTTTTATATGTAATGCTAAATTCCAGTGTATTTTATAACAAAGCTGTTTTTATTTAGGCGGTTTGTGACGAAGTAGACATTAAATATAAGGACAAGGTTTGATCAAGCTTAAAAAATTATTCAGACATTTTATTGCATTATTTATTAGAACTAAGAAGCTACTTATTTGTTATTTCATTTTAGTTTTAGAATTTTGTTTCATACAAAATATATATATATATCCAAATTTTCACCATTGCGATGATAGGGACATGGGGTTATAGAGTGTGATGCTAACTTTCAATTAATTTTTGTTATATTAAGTTCTTATTTATTAATGTCGTTCTATATTAGCTGTATAGTCAATTTTTTTTATAATTTGAAATATTAGGGACAATTGACAAATGGCAGAGAGCCTTAATAATATAATAGTAAAATGACATGTTATCAAAGTTGGTGGTTTTAAATAAATCTTAAATCTTTATTTTAATAATTATTAATAACTATTTGACTGGAAGAATTTTAAATATGCACAAAATCTGGAAAAGCCAGGTGTTTTTTTCTGAAGTGTCTATCCTGTGTAAATGCTGCCTAATCATAATAGCAGAGTTGAAAATCTGGAAAAGTCAGGTGTTTTTTCTGAAGTGTCCATCCTGTGTAAATGCTGCCTAATTATAATAGCAGAGTTGTTAAGTGGCATATGCAAATAATTGATAGTAAAAAAAGAGAGGGATTATGCGACGACCGGCAATTACGGCCCATTCTTCTTGTTATTGCGTTCGGGGGCGGGGGCGGGCCCGGACGGTGCCGTGTAATCGAGTGCCCGATAATCACTGGCATTAGGCGGCCGCGCCGGGTCTACGAGGTGGTCCGCGAACAACTACTTGTGCACCAGTGTTGCCAAAAGACATTTTTTAAATATTCAGATGGGTCATTATACTACACTCACAGGCAAAATAATCGATCCACACAAATTTCAATCGCAAATAACTTTTTTATTTGATGTCGGATTAAAACGAATATTAAAGAATATTGTAGAAAATTAATGGAGACTCGCTCACATTTTAAAAATTTTTAGTTTTTTACCATAAGTTTAAGACACTTTGTAGAGTGGCTAAACCGTATATTGTTCTAAATTAAGTTTTAATTATCATTATCATCAACAGTTTTGTTTTTGATTTTACTCAATATATTTATTTTTATGGAAAATACCTATGGATTTAAAAAAAACATTGCAATTTCCAATATTTTTTCTGTACGAAGAACTAAGGTTGCTAAGGCTATGGATGATGACAGTGACAGTTTTGTTGAATCATCCCATGTCATATACGGCTTTCAAAAGCTATCAAATTGTTTTTTGCAAATTAATGTTTTACTTTTGAGGTGTCTTCTTACTTTTAATATGTCTCCTACTGATGTTGCCAGAGCCATTGATTTAATTCAGGATGGACAGTCACAGTATTACGTGGCAAGTTTTTTAAGCGGTACGAGAAGAAGTAAATTAAGGGTAACATCAACAAAAAATCTGTTTTTAAAAGGTTCTGGTTTTCCACGCAAATATTTCCCTAAAATAATTTAATATTATAGCTATCTTCAAGGTTAGGTCAAACTAAAGAAAGTTTTACAAAAAAACGTCTTTATAAGCAAGATACTTAATACATACTACATCAAGTATTTTGTTTCTATAGGAGGCGCACAACTATTATAACTATAATAGTGGACAATCGATTTCGCTGTTTGTTTTTAATAGGATTGACTTGTGAACAAAATAGGCAACCCAGTGTGCGTCTTAGTGTTTAACCAATCCAAGACCACATAGAGCCGACAAAGTAGCACTAAAAACTGCATATAGGTACCAAAAAAAAAGCGTAGAAACGGCAACCCTGGTGCTTACCGAGGAGCAAATAGACTCCGGCCCACGCAACGTCATCATAACAATTGCACAGCACCGCAATTATGCCATAAATTACCAGCGCGAGCATGAATGCAGATGAATGAGACTGACTAACTAAACGGGCCCACGGCTGTTTGTGTTGTTTCTTCTACTCTTGTGCGCTTGTCTAATTCAATTTTCAATCTATTTATCTATCCAAACGCCCCATCATAAGTTTGCAACATAGAGACGGAGAAAATACGCTTATTTTGCAAACACAACTTAACAAGATTTTGTTCATTTGTCTAATGTCACGGCTTGGAAAATTAGTTACTATTTTTTAAACCTATCATTAACCGAGTTATGCGGTTTGGAAAAGAGGAATCAGCAAAAACTTGATTTATTGTGGGACAAGTTTGTTTGAAAACGGCGTTTTCGGTTGAAAAGTGGCTTGTGTACATAATAAGAAATGAATAAATAAAGAAATAAGAATGAAGAGCAAGAAGAATAAGAAGAGATTTTTCTTTAAAGTCGTTATAAATTGGCATTCGCGGCATCTAGCCTGTGTTGGTGAGCCGCCTCGGATCGAAACAATGGGCTGCTTAATTCAGCTCGGGGAGAAAAACAAAAGCGCAACATCGGACGCATACTGAGAGTGGAGTGCATCATCTCGTTGGCTGGTCGAGGAAAAAAATTGAAGACGAGGTCGGCTGACCGCTCGCTCGGCCAGTGAATAACGAGGCGAAAGACAAAAGACGATAGCCGTGGTGACACGAAATCCGTTATTAACACCGACCGCTTTGATTTAATTGTCTCTTTCTCGCCATGGAATTTCTTCAGGTGCTGCAACCGCGCATTTCAATTGTTTTTTCCTCTGCTCTGCCTGCTTTATCTTTGACAGTTTTATTATGACTCGCCATCTCCTTCTCTCCTCTTTTTACCCTTGCGACTTATTAATTGCCCATCGACGCTTTTTATCCAAAACACTGACCCGTTTAATATTTATCAATCGCAATTAAACCAAATTTATTTCCTTGTCGATATTGGGTTTGAAATAAAATAAGTGTTATTATCAATAAGAATGGGCGTGCGCGTGTTTTGTGGTTTCAATTGTACGTGTGCACAGTAATGACAATAATAAAGATGGTTTACGAGTGGCGTTCGGTTCTTGAGCTCTTGACGGGCTCACAATGGTCCCCGACCGCGCGACACTGGCACCCCGTCGTCACCGTCCCCCTTTCCCTTCACTCCGACCCTGGCCAGGGGCCCCACAACGCATTCCTCAACTCGTGTGAATCTTTACCGAACGCTTATCTCGATTTTATCAAAACATTAATTTGCCTGAAAATCATACTTTTTCTTTTTTTGTTTCGCGCAACCATTCCTACCGGTATCCAAAGTGAACTATATGGTTGCTAAGTTTGATATTACAAGATTTAGGACGATTGCCAACATAAACATTTTTCTTCTTCTACATAATGTAGTCAATGTCATAAGAATGTCAAATATATACTACTGACTATTTGTCAGTTGTCCCTAATTTTTCTTATTAAAAAAAATAATAAATTGAGACCTCTAATATAGAACTAGATTCATAAATAAGACCTTAAAATAACAAAAATTAACATTTTTCAATTAAATATAAAAATATTTTTAATGTCTTCATTAAGGTTAAAAGTTTGTATCACACCCCATGTCCCCATCATATTGCAATAGTGAAACTTGGATATATTTCATGGGTTTCGTGTGAAACAGAATTCTTATACTTAAATAAAATAACAAATAAGTACTCCTACATATAGAAAAACTCTGTAACCCATGTAGTTTATAACTATGGCACGAGATGGCTCCTCTGCAGGCAATGGTATCGCTATTGTTATTTTGCGCGTTACAAACAAGCAGCGTGTGTTTTTGAGTTATCTTTCGTCACGGCATTTACTCGGTAAGTATTTGCAGAATTTTCATCTAAAGTCACCCAACTTGGTTATTTTTAATTAATGCAATGTTTTATAAAAAAGAGACTCTTTAGTGAACTTTACTGCTGAGAGTAACATTAGAATTACCTTTAGTTTGCCTAAATAATAGTTACAATGGATATGAAAATGTGAAAGATTTATTTTTTAGAGGTAGATGGGGCTAAACGTATAATGACCCTCATATATAATATGTTTATAGTTATAGACTGCTTTAGTAATTCCTTGGGAATGAATGACAATTTATAAGTCTTGACGTTCTTAAACTTTAAGTGGGTATAAGGATGTCCTGCGAAATCCCGAATATCTGGTTACCCCAATTGACACATATAAAACGTTTTCCAGTATTTCTACTTGCATCTTGCAACGTATCGTGTGATGATACCATAAATTTGTAGGATTTCAATGTATCGTATTTTTCTTGACCTGTCAATCACAAGGTACCAACCAACCCAACAGATTGCTTCGAACATGATGATGATTGGCATTCCAAGATAAACGGTGTAGACATGTAATTGACACTTTAGAACCTGCCCACCGCCACAACATTACGATTTTATTTTGCAAGTGCAAATAGTCCCTTGATGGATGAAATAAAATAATAAGCGAGTTTGTATTTCCACTACGTATACGTAAGTAGGTATAATCGTGCAGTCAGAGTCGGGTATGACACGATAATGGCGCAGTTAATTAGGGCCGTTTTGGTGAGCTGATGTTTGTTCTGGGGCACCACGACTATAAGGTACCTACAACTTTTCTTTCTCCTAAACGTGATGGTTTATAAAATTGCCACCTTCGGCGATCCGCTGTTGACGGCCTAATTGCTATTCATCGCTCCCAAAACCGAGCTGGTCACCATACACTATGATTACCACATGTCCACGTCGTTTTCTCTCCTTTTTTCCCATTTTATTTCAACTTTAATCTGAATCGATACAACGATCCTTTTGATAACATGTATTGGTTTAACTTATGTAAAAGACCATTTAACATCTGTGTAGATTAGTTAAAGGAAACAATGTTTAAGCACGCAATGTTTTTAGGTACTTTTTACGAGTGACTAATGAAGGCCGTGGGGCGGTCAAAAGGCGGCGGTCCCTTTCAAGTAGGCAACCCCTTGGGCGGACCAAGTACGCTTTTTAATGACTATCGACACCGCCGTTCTTAATGAACTTCCCAAACGAAACAATCAACGATTCCTTTAATTTTTTTAATTGCAAACCGACTACTATCCTTTTAGTGTATTTGACTGTAAAAGGATGGGTGCCTAATCCCCTTGGCGTTTATTAACGTTTCGGTGCGTACGGTACAATAAATTTAAAATACAGAGATGTGTGGTTTAGATAACGAAATTGTATGGTTGTTTAAAAGAAAGTTTTTCATTTTATTTGAATATTTTTGATGCATTCCAAAGGGCTCAAACATTCGTAGTAACGGTGGAGAAATACTTAAGTAATTTGTTCAGAGTAACAATACATAGAGTTAACTGGGAGAAGATGTTTAAGTGATAATAAGAGAAATAAAAAAATAATGGTTGGTTCGTATATGATATAGAAATGTGGTGGTAGTGCGTGATTGTCTGGCGGGCGACGGGTGGTCGGCGGGCGCCACCGCCGCAGGAATGCACACAATATGCCACAGACATCGTCTGCTTCTTGTTGCCTTTCTTACTACTACCTCTAAACATCCCCCACTTGCCCAAATTTATAATTGAATTAAAAAACACACATTTTACCTAGTAAAAGCTTTCGTATCCATCTGTGATAAAGGTAAGTACGAGTACTTAAAATATTTACTCCTAAGTACATTTTTAAAGAGAGGTAGTAATCGTAAAAAAACACGAGTAAAGAGTACTTTTGAAAAAAAATGTTAGTTAATATAATTTATTATTCTTTATACATCATATATCCCGGGCTATAAAAATACGAATACAAATTTATATAATTATACATTAGGTACATAATAATAATAATAATAAATAAAAATTACCATTCTCGGTAAATTTTCGATGAATTTCAATCGCAAATAACTTTTATCCACTCCTACATTGACGAGTTGTGACTTTATGGCATTTTAGTCACGGGCTGAAGTTAATAACAGTGGCTGTTAGGCATTTTAGTCACGGGCTGAAGTTAGCTTTATTATAAATTGCGAAAAAGTGAGGTTAAATTTGTTAATTGTCAAATTTTATGAAATAAAATTGTCTTTAAATTCTTATTTCTGTTCGTCGTAAAAAAAGTATAGTATGCAACTCGTTTTATAAACTTCTCTAGACACTCGTTTTTATTAAACACTCGCTCGCAAGCTTCGCTCGTGCCTAATAAAACTCGTAACTAAAATGACGTTTATAAAACTTGTTACATAATATACTATTTTATTTGATGTCGGATTTAAACGAATATTAAAGAATATTGTTGATAAATTAATGGACAATCGCTCACCTTTTAAAAAATTACTAAAAATTGACGTAAGTTTATAATATACAGGTTTAAACAAAAAGATGTTTTTTACCATAAGTTTAAGACACTCTGTAGAGTGGCAAAACCGTATATTGTTCTAAATTAAGTTTTATTTATTAAGTCACATCTATTCTTAACAGTTTTTGGTTCACCTCGATATATTTATTTTTGTGGAAAATATGGATTTTTTTAGAAAACATTGCAATTTCCAATATTTTTCTGTATGAAGAATTAAGGTTGCTATGGTCCATCCATAGGCTATGAAGAATGACAGTGACAGTTTTGTTGAATCATCCCATACTTGGACATGTCATACACGGCTTTCAAAAGCTATCAAATTGTTTTTTTGCAAATTAATGTTTAAATTTTGAGGTGTCTTCTTACTTTAAAAAATGGATATGTCTCCGACTGATGTTGCCAGAGCTATTAATTTAATCCAGGATGGACGGTCATAGTATACTTGGCAAGTCTTTTAAACGTCACTAGAAGTAAAGTACAAAGGACAACATCAGTCGGAGACATTTTTAAAAGTTAGAAGGCACCTCAAAATTAACACATTAATTTACAAAAAACAATTTAATAGCTTTTGAAAGCTGTATTTGACATGTCCAAGTATGGGATGATTCAACAAAACTGTCACTTTCATCCTCCATAGGCTATGGATGGACCATAGCAACCTTAGTTCTTCA